GTTGCGCCGGTGTTGGAGGGTGTCCCATTTGAGGTCGGTAAGCATGTCGGTGACGCTGCTTGTTCGCGTGTAGTCTTGTTTCACGAATCTTGCAGCGCGACGTTGGACTATTTCTAGTTGGTTGATAAGACCCTCAGAGTGAGGGGACCAGACAGATGAGGCGTATTCAACAGTAGGTCTGATATATGTCTTGAAGGCATTAGACTTGGCGCTTGGAGGGCTAGATCGTATGTTTCGCCTGATGAATGACATGGTGGAGTTAGCCTTTTTGGTGATGTTATCGATATGTTTTTTCCATGAGAGGTCTGAAGAGATGGTGACTCCAAGATCTTTGGCATGATCTGCAGTGTTGAGTTCTTTTCCGTGGATGCTATAGGTGTTAGTACTAGGCTTTCTTTTTGTGGAGATGTGGATGACTTCACATTTGTCGGGATTAAAAGCCATCTGCCAATCATCCTCCCAGGATTGGAGACTATCTAGGTTATGTTGAAGTTGGCGTGAGTCCTCAGGGCTACGGATGATTCTATACAGGAGGCAATCATCGGCGAAGAGTCGAGCCGTGGATTGGACTTTCGATGGTAAATCATTGATGTAGACCAAGAAAAGAAGAGGGCCAAGGACGCTGCCCTGAGGGACACAAAAGGTGACAGGTGAGGTAGCTGAAAAGGAGCCCTTAAGGACAACCTGTTGTGTGCGCGACAAGAGAAAGTCTTCAATCCAGGAGTGGGTTGTGCCTCTTATTCCATAATGGTCCAGTTTCTGAAGGAGACGTGGGTGTGGAACTTTATCAAATGCTTTTGAGAAGTCAAGCAGAACAACGTCAATTTGATGGTTGTTATCTATTCCTTTGGCTAAGTCATTGATGGTCATAAGTAGTTGAGTGTCGCAGGAGCGTTTTTTTCTGAACCCATGTTGGTAGTCAGAGAGGATGTTGTGTGAGTCAAAGTAAGACATGATGTTGCTGAAGATGATGTGTTCCAGTACTTTGCAGGAGACTGATGTTAGAGAGATAGGTCTGTAGTTGGATGGTGATGAGCGATTTCCTTTTTTGAAGACAGGTGAGACAAGGGCGGTTTTCCAGTCAAGTGGGATCTGACCTTGATCCAGAGACAGTTGGAATAGCTTTGCTAGGCCTGGAGACAGCTCTTCTGATGCAAGTTTGAGGAGCCTAGTGGGTATCTTGTCTGGGCCTGGAGCCTTGTGTGGCTTAAGATTCGACAGAAGCTTCTGGACGCCCTTAATCATGACATGTATAGGGTTTAGAGTTGGTAAACAACTTGGAGGAAGAGTAGGGCGTTGAGCCATGTCCTCTTTGGTGAAGACAGAGATGAACTGGTCGTTTAGAAGTTCAGCTTTCTGTTTACCATCGCTGTATGCCAACCCGACCTTCTTGAGTGGAGACACACCAAAGTTGTCTTTCTTTTTGGATTTGATGTAGTTCCAGAAGACTTTTGGGTTTTGATGGTCTGGCTGGAGCATGTCTGATATGTGGGCATCGTGGACAGATCTGCATAGGCGCTGGGCTTTCCTTTTGATATCTTTATATTTTGACCAGTCAGAAGTGGAGTTTGAGTTCTTGGCACGCCGGAACCACCTTCGTTTCAGTCTGGTAATTCGCCTTCTATCCCGGTTGATCCATGGCTGATTGAATCTTTGAGCACTTTGGCGATGTGGGACTTCATCTTCAATGATCTTTTGGCAGCCATTTTTGAAAATAGTCCAGATGTAATCAATGTCTGAAGAGGGGTTGATTTTCTCTAGTAAGGTATCTGATAAGGCTTTGCTTTTTTCTTTAATGGTATTGATGTTGGCCTTCCCCCACATGTACAGGGTGCGCTTTGTCTGTTTAATACGTGTGGCACACATGTTGGTGTCAACAAATATGGCGTGGTGGTCGCTTATCCCTGGGGTTGCTGTACAGCGATTGACAAGTTGTGGTCGATTGGTGAGGAAAAGGTCAAGTATATTGTCGCCTGTTGTAGGGAAGTCAACAATTTGTGTGAGGCCTAGTTCAGGTTCTAGGAGAAGAAATTGTTCATTTATTGCTTTCCTGTATTGGTGTTCATTGATTGCGTTGTTAGACCAATTAATATCTGGTAGATTGAAGTCGATTGCAATCCAAATAGTAGCATTTTTAAATTTATTGCAGATGTGTGAGATGGCTTGGAATAGATGTCTTGAATATTCTTCATCATTATTAGTTGGTATGTAAGCTGAGCCGATGATGAGGGTCTCTTTATTGATGCATTCAATTTTCTGGAATAGGATGTCACATAGAGTGTTGACTTCGACTGGTTCGCTGACAATGTTACGGTGAATGGTGTAGTTGCTGTTAGTTGGAAGAACTTCAGCATCATAGATTGTTGGGTTTAGCCAGGTTTCACAGCCACATATGATGTGGCAGCTGACAGATTCAAGGAAGTTCCAGAAGCTTGCTTTCTTTTTGGAGCTGCAGACACTCTGAATATTAATGCTGGCTAGTCGGATGTTGTTTGTGCGTAGTTTGTGCTTGAAATTCTTTTTAGGACTAGAGCATGACGGTGGGAAGTTTTCCATACTAGAAGTGCTGTGAGTTGATCTGGAAATACTGGATTTGTCTGATATATTGACGCTGGATACGCTCTCTAGTTCTGAGATGTCGCTGCTGATAACTGAATGTAGGCTGTTTCCATGGTTTGGTTGATCTGTGTCAATCTGGTGGACATAGACCGAGTCGAATAGGCTTGAAGAGAAGTTGGGGATACCACAAGAAAAACATGTAAAGCTCATATCGTTGTCAGATTTAGTGAAGGGCAGGAAGCCAGCATCATTCAGCTGTATACACTTGGCATGGTACCATGTCTCACATTCATCGCAGCAGATAGCCTTCTGATTCCAATGGCAGCCTTTCTCACAAACGCCGCATGGGAACTTAAACTTGCGCTGTATTGGTCCAGGGTTCAGTCGGGTGTCAGATGATCGTAGGATTAGTAGAAAACTGAGGTAGCGAAGGTGTTGTTTGCGTTTGAAGAAGATACCCTGGCCACATATACATTGCACTGCGTGTAGTGAGGGAATGTGGTCTGTGTTGCACAAACTGACATATGTGAAAGTCTTCGACAGGTACGGAGTCCCTATCAGCATTCCCTAGGTTGTTTACAGACACATGGTTGAATGTACTATTTAATGTGGCAAATATTGCTAAAACCAAAGGTAAAAAGTCAGGTTTAGAGATCAGCATAATTCTTACCATGTAGTTCGTTGATTTAATGAATGTTTAAGACGAGTTCATGGACATACTTTACAAGATAATGCATCAACAGTTGTTTATTGTTCAAAAAGAACGAGTGCCGGATGTTGACAATTCGCCGGTAAACAGATGAATTTTGCCTCGCGCGATGATGCGCGGCCGGTGGCAGTATCCAATAGAAATTGTAAATGAACTGAAAACAAGGAGTATCAAAAACTGATATCAAAATTAATTGTTAAACAAACAAACAAACAAAACAAACAAACACACAAGCAGACAAACAAACAAACTAACACAAAAATAAATTGAAAAATGAAAATATCATTGGTAATAATAAAATAGGTGTACTGATGTGAAGACTTTAAACTATTTTGTTCAGAGCCTGCTTTCAGTTATATCCCTATATAATACCAACTGATTTTGAAAGAAACTCCGCGTTTCATAATTTGTTTCACTTGATATAATACTTATAACGCATAACTGATAAACGTAATAATTTAACTTTTTAAAAAAAAATGATATTTACTATATCCATTTTTATATAATTTTACTCGACCATCAATATACATAAATTATTCCATGGTTCTTCAAAAATACAAAATACAGTCATGTGAACTCTTGAATTGTGTAGTATGATGTGAATTATGATATTATATTTGCTCTCTTAAAGATATAAATCTATTTTTCTTTTACAATTCAAAATAGAATAGATTGTGGTTTGTCAATTGTATAATTGAGCCGCGACACGACAAAACCAACATAATGGGTTTGTGACCAGCATGGATCAGGATCCATGCTGTTCGCTTACAGACCCTATAACAAGTAAAGAAAATGATAGCGAACAGCATGGATCCTGACCAGACTGCGCGGATGCGCAGGCTGGTCTGGATCCATGCCGGTCGCAAACCCATTATGTTGGTTTTGTCGTGACGCGGCTCAATTATTTTAAATGTTTGTGCAATATTGTACAGGCAGAAAAATCAACAGCAAACGTTATCATATTTAAAAAAGGACCAATGAAACAGAATGGAAGGCTTTTTTTATCAAGAGCCTGTTATATTTCCGATCCTTAAAATGATTTTACTTAGCAATATAGACACTAATTACCGAGATAGGGGGTCTCTAAAACTTTCTCCTTCTCTATGTAAGAATAGCCGTTGTCGTAGCTTTTATCAAGTAACCAATCGTTGAGTCTTCCGTTATTATCTCAAAATGTCTGATGACTGATTTAGAAGGAATAAGCCAATGTTTATATAACCTAGAAAGCTCAATGCTCCTGATCAGTAGATGACATCTAATAATTTTGAGGGCATTGGTTAAAAATCTGATTGGTTATTTATCTCGTGCGCACGACTTAGTAACTCGTGGCCACGACATAGTATCTCGTGCGCACGAGATAAATAAAAACACACACACGTCACCTTTGTGCCACCGTAAACATCAGATTATAAAATCGGTCGGTCTTGCATTCTAAATATTGAGACTACCTGGTCTGACAAAATCCTTCACAATTTCACGGATTTATATTGTAATGTAAATCCGTGACAATTTGTAGACATATAAAATACCAAATCATTAAGAAAAATTGAAAAACAAAATTGGAGAAAGATTTTCTCCGAAGTACAATGACGGGTTATTCGTTAGTTCTGGCCACCATAACTTTATGTCGCTTTTATTTTGACGTTGTGCGACAGTACTATAAAACCTGTTCGCTGAAGTCTCTTTAGCTAGATCTAGTTATTCGTAAGCAGATTAGTGTGACCCGCGAGGTGTTCCGAATGCAACCAATCAAATGCGATGTTTGTAATCGTGTCGAAGCTGAGAAAATTGAATGTTGCGGGAAATATCATTTGAAAGATAAATAGACTATTAACTAAAGAAATAAATGATTTGATAAATAGGTTTGATAATATTTAATGATGTTGATACAAAGATATCTTAATTAATTATATCTGAAAATTACCTTGTCAGTGTGCAAAAGTTTGTGCATTTGAAAATATTTTGAGTGGGTGGGGTAATATAATAATATGAGTAAGGCTAAGCCTCTGACAGAATTTATTATGAATACATATTATTTTAATTTTAATATGAAAAAGGCAAAGCCTCAAAGCGATCTCGATTTACTTTTACCGTGTCGTGAAATAGTATAAAATAATCGTTTATTTTTATTTTACATTTTCCGTTTTAAAATTGTTATTCGGTATTTTATACACTGCTTCCGTTTATTCTGGTTCCCCCTTTTTATTATGGTTCGTTTATAAGTGCGCAGGACACCAGTCTACGCTTCCGTTTTCAATCAGAGTACATCGGCTTTTATATGTAATCTTGTAAATCGAAAAGTTGCGATGTGTCCAATTTCGGTACTTCGGACGAAAGTTTTCAAAACCATCACTTAGCAGGTTCTCGCGTTACCGTAAAGCTCGCTTTGGGCCAGCTCGTCGAGCTCGCTATTATGTATTTGATATGATTAAGGCAAAGCCTCAAAGCAAGCTCTGACAGAAATTATAGTACATAATAATTTAAATTATGCCATAGTTGGCTACATAGGTGTTCGGTGCGTTGATTGGTCACTACCCCCGGGCCCGGGCTTTTAATTCAATTACCTTCATCTCCCACTAAATTAAACCCACCCATCAGAGAACATAAATTTACTTTTATCAAATTTAGGGATAAATAATTTAATTTCATGAAATGGATATTGTGATACAGGCGCTTGAAGTAGCTTTTGATTCAGCGGTTTTTGTCAAATTATTCAATATTTTTTATCAAGTTGCATTAATAAGTTAGTTATTTTGCCTGAAATTTATCATAAATTGTTCAATATACTTGAATCAATCAAATTTACGTATTTTACGATTGTGAATGCACCAGGAGTCCAATTTCGGGAAATGTGCTTTCACTTTCGCAAAACTTGATATAAGGATTGATGTTAATCAAGGTTTTCCAAATGTTAATTTGAGTGGGAACCATTATAAGACAGGAAACCTTCCAGTGGTGCATCAAAAAATAATAGCAGTCTTTGCCATAATTTTTTTTCAGCACTAGCCCAGTCGGGCTAGCAGCTTACAAATTTCGCGAGTCCGAACAAATTTTAACTACCCCGAACCAAAATGGTATTTTTTGCATACATTTTATACAGAAATAACACTGTCTATATGTTTTATATACCATTTAATAGGGATGTAACAATACAGCAAAAACCGTATTGCAATATATTGCCATTTTGCTGAAGCGTATTGCAATATATTGCAATACGTATTGTCGTGTATATGTTTTGATGTAAAGATGGAGTAACATTTATATATTATTATTATATGTATATATTTTTAGTAGAAACTTAATAAAAATGTAAGGAATAAATAGAAAGTAGTGTCACACAATTTGATAAACAAAACTAGTCGCGTGTAACCTTTCACATCTGGGCCGCTTATGTAAATTATGCGGCCGCTTATTGACTTTTAAGTGTACTAGTTGTCAGATACTTTTATCTTACGTTGGCGCCAACAAAATTTGCCAATTAAAGATTTTATGTGAAATTTGTACAAAATTAGAAGGCAATTAATTGAAAATTATGATTTTTATAAAATACCGGTTTTCCAAAAATCGTACCGCGGTTCGAAATTCATTTTTTCATATTGCAATATATCGGTATACCGGTAAACCGTTACACCCTTACCATTTAACATTATTAAAATATCAACAAATCAACTTTTCTTCCTTTCATTATTTAAATAAGAAGAGTTTTAACTACATATGAAAAAAAGATATTTTGATATTTCTGTTGCTTTGTCCACAGACTGAAAAAAATTATTTAAAAACTGAAAATACCCTTCTCCTTGTTGTTTAGTAATCATGTCGGCTGATACATGTATGCATTGACAACATTTTATATTCCTTTTTGTATTACTTTCATCATATTTTTTTTTTTTTTTTTTGGTGTGTTCCTTTTTGGCTTAGTGCCTTCAAAATACAAGAGAAAAGACATATTGTGAAGCATGAGATGACGCCTAATAAATGTCTAACAATCAATAATATTTCATAAGCGTTTTAAGTTCAATAGAGCTGCAGGCCAAGGTGGTTTACCGGTCAAAATCTAGAGTAAAATGAAAATTCTGGGGTAAAATTTATAAAAAGAATTGCATTGTTTTTTTATCAAATTTTATTGCCTTCTAAAAAGTTCCTTTTTTACATAAATCAGACTGGCTTATAATAAAATATTGATTCAATGTGAAATAATACAAAACTTGCTCTGTTAAGGCAGGCTTCCCTAGACTAGGGTTTGTTTAGGATACACAGCAAATTAATGACAAGACTCATTTTTTTTTGTTGCTGACATGTTGTTGTTTAAATGTGTCACATTCTTTTATAATCAGCTATGGTCAGCATGATGCTTCATTCATACTCTATTTCAACATTTTAGTGCATGTTCTTTGGTTTTGATTATTTATAATTGAAATTAGAATAAAGGAAAATGAATAAAATAGATTTAAAACTTTTATACAAAAGTATTAGTCTTTGAGGAAATTGTCCGTAACTGTAAACTTGGTACGAAAATATTGAGTACAAAACTGCAGAATGATGGCAAGGGAGAAATATGTTTTCCAATAACTAAAGTGGCAGAAAGTACAACATTTTTCTTTATTTTGTAGCAAAAACATTATGATATATGTCTAAGCAAATTGAATATTAGGTTAAGTCCTACAGTGATTACGCCAAATTTAACTTTATCAATAATTTCATTTCAGAAACTCCCAAGAGTTACCTTCCCTTTGTACTCGTCACTTCCTGCTACTTTTGTTTTCAACTAGTTGACAATAGTACTTTTAGTTTTCCATCCAATTCAGCAGAAATATATTGTATTTTCATAAAGCCAAAACATTGCTATCTGGAGCTCTGCATAATTCCGACATTTTCTTAATTTGGATACGAAAAAAGCCCTCGACCAGACGGGCTACCAGCTTGGAATTTTCACTCGACCACCCGCAAATTTACTCGACTTGGTCGTCAGTCGAGTGGGTTAAGTCGAAGACTGTAATAGTGCAGGTAACCTGCTGTTACTGATTCCGGTCTTGCTTCAAATATAATGGAACAGGGAACCAAACAACTTCCGATGATGAGCAAGCAAACTTATCCATAACTTTGCTATACTGCTGGCAAAAGTATTCAAAACCATTACTTGAAGATACATTAACTTAATGCTCACTTTGCTATTAACTTGATGATATTCAGACACTGTTTTCAAATTTTTATTGATTTGTTCCTGATTAGGAGTGTCTTTATTTGCTGCATTATAGCAAACATTTATTAATATTTGTGCTGTGTCTTCAGGTACTGACTGGGATTTGAACTGTGGTCCGGTTGATTATAAGACTGACAAACTAGTTTCGATTTCTGATATCATCTTTAACAGTTTCGATTTGAATTGTAGGGTTGGCAGATTTACGCTGTTTAATAACGCATTACGATACTTACATAGTAGTTAAGCAATTTATTTTTTTATTCAAATTTTAACATCTCTCTATCACGCTTTTGTTAATTTTAGGAGAAAATGGATGTTCGGGGATCCTTGAATGCAGACAATAATTTGTCTGTTGTCACAGGAGATGGGCAGATGTCATTTATTGAAAGTGATAGCTTTTATGCTAGGGTTCCCCCTCTAGCTGCATCAACAGTTGCAAGGACAAAATCAAGGTCAGTAATTCATCAAGTTTCTTTTATATAGAATTAAGAATGCATTTGAGCCGTGTCATGACAAAACCAACATAATGGGTTTGCGACCAGCATGGATCCAGACCGGCCTGCGCATCCGCGCAGTCTGATCAGGATCCATGCTGTTCGCTTACCAACCCTATTTCAAGTAGAGAAACTGATAGCGAACAGCATGGATCCTGATCAGACTGCGCGGATGCGCAGGCTGGTCTGGATCCATGCTTTTCGCAAACCCATTATGTTGGTTTTGTCATGACGTGGCTCATTTATTATGATGATTTAAGTATATTGTACTATCTAACAATTTTTCCCATGATTGTCATAATGTCATTCTCCACATGCATCTATGAACAAGTTTTCCACCTATTACTCCTGAAATTGGCTAGTAAATGCCAAATTCAACCTCATTTAGTCTAAATATTAAAGTAGAAGATATGATTGCGAATTTTGAAAGTTGCTTCGAAAAGTTTAAAGTCAATGTTCATGGTTGTACAATATAAAATAAAGTTAATACAAGACAGTAGGTTCATTTGCTGTTTGGACATGTAAATCCAGGTAAACTTTGTTAAACTATTTATAATTAGATTTTCAATATTTCCTTGTCTATTCTAAGGCCTAAAAAAAAATTGATGTGTTTCTGGTGGCAAGGCGAAAAAAAGTAGGGTCGGTAGGTCGGACTTTTTTTTTTTTTAGTCAATCAACGATTGTAGATATGTCAGATACTGATTATATGTACTTTAAATTATATTCTATAGCATATAAAAGTACTTAAAATGTTAGACTACCAAACCTAGTCTTCAATATTTTATTTTGAAATAAATTTTACCAATGGCATGACTCGACTTTCGTTTTCATTTTTTTTATTCTTACCGAACAACTGGCTTCAATTTTAATATTATCACTCTTAACATGACCATGCACGTCCGAAAAATGTTTTGAGCTCAGTTTTGCTGTGGTCTATTAAATTTGATTTCCTGTTTTGCCAAACTATGATCGTATTTTTAAAGAAAATCGGCAGCAGTGACACTTCGGCTGCTTGTTGTGCCGCCATATTAGCCGGTGCGCGTTAATACGTAATTGGAACCCGAATCGTCTGTGCCTCACATCGTTTTCGACTCGCAATACTAAAACCCGTCTTCGGTACGGGCGCCATTTTTTTTTTTGTACATCGATAAAAAACTTTGGGTCGGCGCTAAAAAATAGGGTTGGTCGGGCCACCGGAAACACAACATTTTTTTTTTAGGCCTAATTTATGTTTATGAAATTTGTTAACATTTGTAAAACATTGGAGAGTATTACTGAGAATTTTGTAAAATTTCTAGAGTTGTGTTTTGTAGGAGAGATATGATGTCATTGCGAGCATCTGATCACCAAGATGATTCCGCTGCAATAGAACTGTCTTTTACTGGTATAGAGACGGGAGCCAGGCCTAAATTATATAATCGATGTGATATGGGGGACATGGAACCGGACTCTGGAGGACAACCTCCTGGGCTTATAAACGGGACTGACTGGTCAGTGGTAAATGATTGGTGTAGGGAACATAAACAAGATAGTGAAATGTAAGTTATAGAATAACTAACAAGAGTGACGGCCGTAGAGTACCTCGAAAACTGATATGATTGCTTAGATATTGGTCATTGCCCTAAATGCCAAATGCATTTTTTTTTCCAATCACACTTTGGAAAATATATAGTAACAGCAAACGATCATTTCTGTCAAATTTACATTACAGTCTATCAAAACCTGACAGTTAAGTTTGGCAAGATTATAAGATTTCTTCTTTATTATTCACTGTATCAAAGTATCTTGCTTTGGTTCTTGGCATAAATTGTTCTTTAAGTGGGTAGGTGAAGACAAGAAAACATTTTAAGTTTGATATGACTCTAATAAAATAAACTCTGCTGAAATTTCATCTCGAAAGATTTATCATTGAAAAAATATTTTGAATAGAAGTAAGAGGGAAATTTCAGACCAGCTAACACATCGCAAGCATTTGTCTAGATAATTGATTAAAAAACTTTTTTCTCATTTAATTTTCAAGACAGGTGAATTGTATAGTTAAATTATGTTAAGATTCTAACAACTCTATTGTATGTGTATATAACATTTATAAAATGTATTTTATTTCACATACATATCTTTTCTACCATGTGAAGGTTGTATCATTAACTCTCTGCTTGTGGAATGTGATACAGATAGGTGGAAGGCAAAATAGAGAAATGTTTGGTGGTTGTCAGAAATATATATACTAATTCGCATATATACACTGTCATCCCTTTATACTGCACCCTTTTAGAATTTTCATTGAAACAATATTTATACATGTACAGCTATGTTGGTAAGATAATAGCTGTTTATAGTCTGATCTTTGACCGAACATTATATATCAGAACCATGTTGATAATACTGTCTGATACCTTGAACCCCAACTTGTGCATTATAACAGGGTGTCAGTGTGTTATTGTTTAATTTGGATACACTTTTATTAATTGCTATTATACTTAAATCAACAAGAAATCTATTATATATACCGAGATTTGATGAAAGATTTATAAATAAGACTAACACATATAATCTGGTAATTTAATTATTATACACTAGCATTTATATACAATTACTACACTCACTATTTTGAATATTGTATTTTTCAGGTAATTGATTTAGTTTAACTTGTAACATTTTCAGCAAAACATTCCAGTGATAATGTATTTCAGTAGTCACAATTTTCTATAATCCATTTTCTTAGTTCAACGCCGACATTCAAAGAGTAGGAAAGGTTGATCTATTCACACCTTTGTCAATGTCCATTCCAGGATTTGAAAATTTTTGGACGATTCTCCATCCCCCTAATCATTTTGAAATAAGGGTGAATTTTAAGTTGGGAGATTATAATCATGTTATGATTTATTTAACCAAATTTATAAATTCAGGACCATACTACATCCCAATGTTCATATTAAAGTCTATACAGTAGTCAGTCAGTCAGTCTTCTTTATTTAATGAGGCTAACACATTCATTATATTAGTGGCATAAGTGTCACATATTTTAAATGTTGGCATGCAGGTTATATTTTCCTGCTGATTTTCTTTTGCTTATTTGTTGCCTGCACTGTTATATTTGTATGCTTATTGCATCATTTAATAGAAAGTTAGATATAAGTAATGAGCGTGTCAAAAGTAAAAAAAAATGGCCCTGCTCTTGGAGAATTTTTTTATCTTCTTTCATTTGAATGAGAATCAATGACTGGTATTTTCTGTCTAATATTCAGGTCAGATCTAGATGGTAAATCTTCACTTGGTATCATAAATGTGGATGACATGGGTAAGATTTATAAATTGTTTATTATTCATAATGATTACTTGTAATTAATATTTTATATTGAATTTTGTTAAAATTTGAAGATTTGGAGGCATTTAAAGATATACTGTGCTCAAATTTGATGTCACAAAATATTGATAATTGTCTCACAGTCTTTTTTTAATATAAAATAAATATGTTTTGACTGATTTGTCATGTTTAAAACTCTACACACTATAGGTGGTCGCAATATAGTGTCATTAAAAAAATGCCAATTGTTTCAAGAAATGGCCAACTTTACTTGACCTGTAAAAGGGAACACAGCTTACCATACATAGTTTATTCATTGTTTTATTCAAATTAGACATATTCAGTTAGAATTTTATAGATTTCAATAAATTTCTGTGATTTATGTAGTTAACTCAAGGATGAGCATAGTATATCTTTAAGTTTAACTATGACAATGTGCCAATATTCTTGTCACACAATTATTTTAAAGAAATTACTTACCTGCTACCCTGTGATAGGTGTAGTACTTCTTAATGCTATTGCTTACATAAACTTGCTTATTGACTTGGAGAAAAACATGTCCTGTCTGGTATTAGAATAAGTCCCAGAATTTCAGAGATTGTTGTCTGGCTTTGTACACTGAATTTTTCCATGTATGAAGAAAGTGTCATAAATTTCTACATGTATTGTAACAGATATATCAGCAAACAACCTGCTCGAATCACCACGGGTCAATCTGATGAAGAAACAGACTTTGGAAAATGATAAATCTGTACAAGGTAATATATCTATTTCCTCGGTAGCTTAAATCTAGTAATTTGTTGTTGAAAAGTTATATATACTTTATTGTTTAATTGTTCGAAAGTACAAAACTTACATAAAGGCATTGAAATTATTTAACTATGTCATGCTTAATGATTGCTTGTTTTAATGTTAATTTTACTTTAAACTGTAATTTCTATTGATATTAGAGAACAACACTGGGCATTCAACATTGAAAGGTCACAGTACTGTAGACTCGAACCCGTGGCATATGGCAGGTTCAGGATCTGCTGACAGTAACACCTGGAAATCTGGCAGTTCATCATCAAACAACACAACTCCTAGTCAAACTGGGGGATCATCAACCAATAACAGCCAGGATTCTAAACAGGACCAACCCTTTGCCAGGTCACAACTAGGAACTGTGAAGAAAGTAGCATCTGGTCCTGTTAAAACTGGCAAGTTTAAAATCATTTATTTTGTATATACATTTTTATTGAAGTGTAGGAATAAAACAAAACTTGTAAAAATGGTGGGTAAACAAATCATACTTGAAATTCTATAGTTCATCTACAGTCCGACCCCGGTTAATCGACAACCCTTTATTAGAATACTCCGCATTATCCGAAGTAGATCGGCGGTCCCGTTTTTATCTCTACATAAATCAATATAATTACAAGCATATTATTTGAAATGCATTATCCGAATACCTCCTGTTTTTCGAAGTAAAATTTCGGTCCCGATTATACAATTATGAAAGAATTTCACACCTATTATTTGAAGCCAGCCTAATTATTATTCGAAGCCAGACTAATTGGCGCAGATCCACTCGCTGACCGTCAATTTGTGAAAAATATCAACAGTCATAAATGTATTTAGACAATTTTGTGCGTTCTTTAATCAACTTTAATTACCGAAAATGAAAAGCTATGCACCGTGTCCGATTTTGTTACTGTTATTGCTACAAAATATTGTTAAACCTCATGTTGTATACTTTGAAATACCTGAGTGAAATAAAGTTATCTGTCTGTCTGTCTGCTTGAAGATGACAGCAATAATTTTCATACATACCATATACAGTCTAACTTGCCCATGCGACCACGTGTATTAAGCGACTTTTGTCTTAAACGACCACTTAAAATTCCCCCCGATCATTTTCTCTCTATATCTTTAATGTATTAAGCGACTTTTGCTCAACGCGACCAGCGACCGCTAATTAGTCACCTAATTGAGATCAATCTTTTCATTAAACGACCACTTTTACCTGTCAAGTAATTGTGTTTTTAGAGAACGCCACCTCGTAATGTCACAAGTGTCAACAATCAAAACACAACAAATAAACGTGTGAAAAACTCTATTTCCCAAACCGTTTTAGCGTATGCAAATGAAGTTAAGTATACCCGTGACGTGTATTATCCAATAATATCGGATAAACAATGCAACGCTCCGCCCCTACTGAGATGGTGTGTACGCTTCGCTTGTTGACATTTAGACTGCATTGAATTGACCTTGAACTTGATCAGCAATTAAATTAATCATAACAATTAGATGTAGTTTGTTTATTTCAAATGAAAAAATGCACAACAGAAAACATCTTCACTAATAGGGTTTTCGTGTTGGAGACAACCAACACAAGGAAAAACAACGGAGAAGTTAAAAAACTCTGGAAAAAATGTCAAACATGTACGTAACTTGTCAATAAATATCAGAAAGTTATTTTTTACATTTGCTTCCATTTAGATTATCGTAGCGTACTAATTATTCAACATTTATATAAAATGAAGTTGAAAAACATTCCCACTTCATAAGAAAGATGTCATTTATAAATTTTGACTTTTATATCATGCTGACTATCTTAAGAGACAGTTTCATTAAGCGACCGTTTTGGGTGTTTCCCTTGCGCGGTCGCTTAATACACGTTTGACTGTATGTAAATTTGTCAAAATATCCAAAACATTTTTTTCATTAATTTTAATGCTACATGAAAGCCTTTATCCTAATCGAAAATACCAGAGTTTAGCTGTAAATACCGTTGTGACAACACGGCCATTATCAAAGGCTTTGCGCGAAACAAAACGATACATAATGTAGAATAAAATGCAAGTATTTATGTCTTCAATGTCAATACAATAATTTTTACGCATCTTTTCTTTAATATTTATTTTTCTCAATTGATTACAGGAAGTAAGTGTGTTGTAAACGGTAGTTTTGCTATGATTGGTCAAAGTGGAGTAGTTTTCGTCTATCACAATATTCGATTTCGATTATTCGAACCCATCGATTATTCGAAGTAAATATTCAGTCCCAGGCACTTCGAATAAACGGGGTTGGACTGTAGTTCATGTGTATAGTCAATAATCCACTTGACTCACAGAAAATTCCTTAAATATCCATCTAAGTAAATGTATTATTAATGTTGTTCAATTAATAAAAAGAGTGGGGCATTCTTTTAAAATTTTAGGCAGTTTTTATTTCTTTTTTTTAAAACATTTTTCATCATCAGTTATCGGTCAATGACCATTATAATAGTGAAATCTATAGCTGATTCAACTCAACTAGACAACAGCAAAAAGTCAGCATAATGTCACCTTACTTTGAAAAGTTGTCAAATGTCAGCAATAGCATAACTGTTGTGGAATATGTCCTTAATAGTTTTTTATCTCAAGCATTGTATCAAGAATATTATTATTCTATTGTTATAGATACCTTTGAAATTATTTTAAGTACATACACAGCAAATTGAGAATTTTGTGTTCTATTTGAAACAACAGATCCGATTATATCTGCGATTCGTCAGTCATTGTTTGGTCAGGGAGCTGTGATTGGCGAGGAGAATGAAGATGGGGATGCTAGTGTATATAATGTTGAACTAGAGGAACAAGATCTACATGATCTAGATGATGACTTCGCAGAGATGAATTGTAGTGTAGGAGTGGAGAGTGATGCAGAGAAATCACCTGAAAAAACACCAACAAATAAAGGTATTGATATTATGTCACTGTTGGTTATATCAAATGTTTATTTCAGATGTCTTTAACTGGAGTAGACTTCTTGATGAAATTGTAATGAAATTGTATCAAAATTGTTTTTACTTGGAATGGTTAAGTTCTTACTAATGACTGTGCTCTCTCTATAAATGCTATACAACATTTTCAAGGGTATATGTCATTTAGGGTGACTGGGTGAGATTTTTTGGTGTATTTGTAAATAATTAAGCAATATGTATAGGAAAATCATGGGTAATTTGGGAATTATGATAGAAATAATATAACTCAGTGAATAAGCCTCTGATATAATGATATAAAAGGAAGCTTAAAATTATTACAGAAATACTTTGATATACCTTAACTTTTGAATATAATGATATAAGATAATGGAGATGTATCTACTATATACATGTATATTTCAGGTGATGGGTTACAACTAGATTCTGTATACCTGAGACCAGGTACAACTGGTGAAGAACAGACTCATAGTAAATTATCTTACCTAAGTAAAGTCAGTCTCTTTGATGGTGAGTGATAGTAATTACAATATACATAATTTGTACCAAGGAACCATTTTATTAAAATACCACTTTGTATATCTGTTGAGAGGTTTCATAATGCAAAATGGAGTGCATCATGCTTCTGCTATCATTTTTTTCTCCATCTATAGTAAAAAGTATAGTATAAAAATAGTAAAATATATATTTTTTTTGGTTGTAAATATGCAGGGAGAGTTTAAAGTATGGAATGAACATGATTTTTATCATACATTAGGTTTATGTGATGGGTTATTTCAGGTTTATCTGGTGGTAGTGGGAGTGAGATAGACACGGAAGATGAGTTAGAACTGGCAAGGAAAGCTCAAGGTGAGAGGATTGAAGCTGCTGGAGAAGATTCTGATGGTCACTCGAGACCAGGTAATATAAACTATGTTACTCTGATGGTCACAATAAACTATGTTACACTGATGGTCACTCAAGACCAGGTAATATAAACTATGTTACACTGATGGTCACTCTAGACCAGGTAATATAAACAATGTTACACTGATGGTCACTCGAGACCAGGTAATATAAACTATGTTACACTGATGGTCACTCAAGACCAGGTAATATAAACTATGTTACACTGATGGTCATTCTAGACTAGGTGATATAAACTACGTTACACTGATGGTCACTTGAGACCAGGTAATATAAACTATGTACACTGATGGTCACTCAAGACCAGGTAATATAAACTATGTTACACTGATGGTCACTCAAGACCAGGTAATATAAACTATGATACACTGATGGTCACTCAAGACCAGGTAATATAAACTATGTTACACTGATGGTCACTCAAGACCAGGTAATATAAACTATGTTACACTGAGACAGTACATTATAAAACTGAGTTTTTACGGGTCAAATATTTTCTAATTATGAATATGATAAATAATGGGGCCACTGTGATTAACTTGCTTATCTTACCAAATATTGTTGCTTGCGCATTTATTAAAGGGCCACAGAGGTTCACTTCCATTTTTTCCAAGAAAAATTCAGATATAGAAAGTTGAGATGTAACTTCAGCAGTATTGTTGGTGGTGGTGGATTTTTTTTTTGAGGGGGGTGGGATGGGGGTGAGTTACCAAGGCAAAAGAATTGATGAAAAAGTAAGAGATTTGGATATGATCCCAGTGTATAGTCTATTGTTTATGACATGCCTTTCAAACCATCAGTTATATAATAAACATTTCTCCTTTTTACTGATAACTGTAAAAATAAATTTCTGAATCAGTTGAAAACATGGAATATTTTGTGTCTTTAATGTTCAAAACTACATGTAAAATATTTGTAATAACACTTGAATTATTATGTAATCTATCATTGTTTATTTAAGGTTTGGAAGGTCTGAGTTTGACAGATGAAACCAGACAACAGTTACCAATTACACAACGACAATCAGCAGAGGGTAATGTAGTTACCTCCCCTGTGCCAGGAGATGGTGGTGGTGGCGGGGATGGTTCAAGTGGATCTGACAGGTAACTTTGGGTCATTTGTAAAACCTTGTGGATTTATGATTACTTTTATGCCCCCAAAGGGCTGCATATAGTAATCGCACTTCCTGTTCTGTCGGTAATTTTGTCCCCGCTTATCTCCTTCACTGATGTAGGATCCATTTCACTTTGTACTTTTTCAAGCATAGGTTCATTATAATGATAATCTACTTGGTTAAAGCTGCAAATATGCGTCGAATTGTTACATGAGACTTTTTCATATACACTCACAAGAATGGGAGGTTGGTAAACACTAAATAATGTGTAGAAAACACAGTATATAGCATTAATCTGTCCATCATGTCACCTGAAACTTGGTAAGGTTTTTATAATAAACAAAATTATATAGATTTATAAATTGACTTGCATCAATATCATTTTTTTGATAGCTTATTTTTAGGGCTGCAACGATACACCAAATGTTCGATTCGATTCGATTTCGATTTTAGACACTCCGATTCGATTTTTTTCGATTCGATACATTTCTGATTACTAATTTATCTTTGGTATATAGTTCTGCTTGTCTGCTCCAAAAGTGAGTGGCCTTCAACCTGGTGCTTTGCTTTTCTGTTGTTATATAACTATTATATAAATTTTTTTGACTTAATAATTGTGTTTATGAGAATAAAAAGCTCTTGTCTATTTGGAAAATAATTCTAATCAGACATATAATCATTATTCTCAGTAACATGACTATCACAGATACCTTCTGCTGACTAGGAATTTAACAAAGTATGTAAATTGTAAAGTAAATAATAATGAACAAAGTTTCACAAGGTTTTCAGAACTGATATTCAGATATTCTGTTTATAATTCCCATAATATGTAAAATGAATAATCAATCCTAATGTCAGTGTTATCACACAATACTTCTTAGTCTAGTAACTAAGTTACAAACAGACCTTTTTGCTGAACTTGAACTAGGCATGTCATGATTACCAAACAAGTCCACATCGTGTTTTCGTTTCATATGTTGCATTAAATTATACGTACTGCCGGACTTTGGATATGACACGTCCGTAAAGCATATTTTGCAAGTAGCTTTATCCGTGTCCTGGCCTTCCCGAGACCCAAAGTGTTCCCAAACCTTTGATTTTAATTTTTTAGGAGGATTTTTTAATTTTATTTTATCAACATTGATGTTGGTAGCCATTTTGACTTGTTTGCCGAAAATAAAACATTACGCGCCCACTGATTGGATGACCGAGTTTTAACTGGCCAATCGTATGTAACGTGATAAAGCGCGAAGGGAAAGACTAAAACTCTCACTTTTTTCCATGTTTATTTTTGGGTGGGGAATCGAATCGAAAATGTTACAGTTGGTATCGGGAATCGAATTGGCGCTCATAAAATCGGTTTTCGATGCATCGAAAGGTATCGTTGCACCTCTACTTATTTTATGATGTACATCTATTACAGTGAAGATGGAAGAAGCTCCGCTGATCAAAGTGACAGGGGAAGATCGAGTTACCATGGTAACACTGCATCCAATCATGTATCAGCTCCTCATATGTCACATGATCAACAAGTGAGTGATTAGTCTTCTCTTATTTTATCAGGGTTTTACATCTCTTTGAAATTTTAGGGGTCCAGTGGATGCACAGCCTAGAAAAGTAGGGGTCCAGGCCTGAATTTTAGGGGTCCAAAATTTTTTCACTATAAAAGACTATGAAGACCACTCTATTTTGCTTAAAATCATTTATTTACCCTGTAAGAGATATGCATGTATATTGTACTGTTTTCATAAGAAGTATATGATTTCAATATCTTTTATCACTAGGTTTTTTTATAGCCCTTTAGTAGCCCTTTACAATAATATCATGTGCTATTTCCAAGGCTTATAAGTCTGTGAGTGGCTGGAATGTCAAGTTTTTGTAGCATATTTTGTTATTGATAAGGTGATTACACCAACAGACTGAAAATTTGTACTGATCTATTTGTAAATATTTTAGCTGAACTAGTAAACACACAATATATTTTTAGCTGAACTAGTAAACACACAATATATAACTTTTACAGACCAGTCAGCTAAATATGTTGCGTTTTTAAAAATATCATATAACAAAAGGATGACGAAACCGCTTTTGCACCTCCTCATAAGTTGGGACATACTTGATGTTCCAGTCAAAAGTTAAGTTCGTTGAAACCATTATATTTATAACACCAACGATAGTAACAAAAACAGTGACTTAATTTCTATAACACTATGAAAATAAGTTTGCAAAAAGCACTGCCTTTTTTATTATCGCCGTTCATGTACAAATTACATTCGCATCGACATTGGATACGCTAACCAATAGTAATTGCTTGTTATAAATAGTCCGTTTAAATATAGCAACAGAAAAACCAAAAACAGCTACCTAAAATAGATTTTACGGTAAACGTCATCAGTTACTGTAGCTTGCACGATAAACGTCATCAGTTTCTGCAGCGGGCACTTGCAAATAGCATGCGCAGTAGATTTCAATTATGTTAACTTCCGAAATAAACAATGCAAGCATTTTCTGCTCACTGTATTAGATTTAAATGGAATTTTGTGAGCTTCGAGAAGAAAGAGATAAAATCATGTCGGGCCAGAAACAATAATATCTATTGTCTAGGATTATTTTTGTGCGTACATTTGGACGCAAGTGGATAACTTATATGCGTACATGTCAAAATTTATGCGTATAGGGACGCAGAATTCTGTGTCCCGTAAAACCCTGTTTTATCTCTACTATTATCACAATAGAATTTGAATACAGATAGTGGCCTTGACATACATGCTGTTTCTCATAAAATATGAAATAGAAAAAACATCCCATTTATAAATTTAGTAACATTTCAGTACAGAACGTCTCTTCTCGCAACATGAAAAGTTCATTTATTCAGCAAGGTCACAAAGGTCATTGAGCCTTTCATTTTCTGCTATTGATAAAAGATGACATCATTGAATGATAGCATACAGTTGAACTTAACAATATACATATATCTAGATTCAGGTATTTGGTTAAAAGGGTAGTGTAATAATTTCAGGAGGAACAAAGAATACGACCAATGGGTGATGACCTTTTGTCTGACCTCAGATTTAGCAGGTTTCCTGTAAGTATTGTTTATAGCATAAAATTCTTTAGAATTTTTTTCCCTCTATTAAAAAAAAAAGAAGTCACAAATATTAGCGAATGGTGGAAGGGTAGAATTTAATGACAGATTGGTTGATATTTAAGCTAGAGTAAATTTTAGCAATTTTTGTCAATTGGTTAAAATCAACAATAATTCTGATATCAGTATGGTAATTTATTTATGCCTACAGTCAACAAGAGGTTCAGGAGAAAGTGATACATTGTTGAATTCACGATATTTACGACCACAAAGTCCCGCAGATAATACAAATCAACCAAGTTTTAGTATCGATGATGTACTGGCAGGAAGTCGTAATGGTCCACTAGATCACGATTTTGATCCAGGAAATCGTCTAGAAGCATCAGGATTCAATGCTGATGATGCATCCTCACTGGTAAACTTTTATTTTACACCAAAAGAAAACTTTGGTTACATTATGGATGTTGCTTGTTCATCTGCTAACCACATACATGTATGTCCACTTAACAATCTGAGAACTATTAGGTGTGCTGTTTTCATACTTGGTTGGAAGATAGATTATCATACTTCTTAAGACACTCGGAGCTCTTGTTTTCCTCTATTTTTAGGGCACTGGTAAATTATCTGCCCTTGAAATAAGCAACATTTTCAATTTTAAGGGCAGATAACTTGAAAACTAGGTTGGTGATCCCCCAGTAATTTTTTGCTGAAACTCTTGTTTTCATATTCTTAGATTCAAGAATTTTATTCTGTTATATGTTTATATGTAATCCTAGCATACCTTTTAAACATATGTGATTCAGAGTCATTCCCACTGATTTTTTTCAGGAAAAAGAGTCCAATTCAAATCCATTTGATGTTAAATCTTCATCATTTGGTTCGTTTGGTTTAAATGGTTCTGATAATTCTGCACAAACACCTGACATGGCCATCTTCTCTGGGGAAATTATTGAAGCTGACTGGATGAGTAGCCAAAGTCAGGATCATGGTAAGTTATATGTTTACTTGTAATAGTGAAAATATTTGACAGTTACTGTTAAGCAAGTGTACAGAAGGACAGGTATTCTATGGTGGTATCGGTGTTGGTAGTTTTCAGTCCGGATCACGGCAGTAAGCTTTATTGAATTTACCAGAGCACAGTTCAACCTCCGCATCGTTCCTGGGGATGCTGTCACACACTTTACCAGTACTAAGTACCTCAACTTTTACAAGGAACTGATTACTTCTGTACATGCCAGAGCAGACAAACAGTGCGAATTACCGTAGAAAAGATTTCATGATCAATCACAACAAAAAAGACCTACGACGTGCAGGAATTGAACCTGAAAGTTCCTGCAAGCTAATGTTTCAAAAATAATGCACAGACACTAACTTTAAATCTTCTCTTTTAGTCATTAATACACCTCGTGTTTTTAACAATGTGTTTCAAAGCACCCAATAGAAAGAATTTGGAATTTTCTCATATCACAAATTATGAAAGAGAACTAAAATGTCCTTTGATAATTGCATGTTGAGTTACCAGTACAGGTCCTTGGCATCATTACAAGGTTGTTTTGTTATAAATCATAATTATATTTCAGATGTTTTGTGGACTGGGACTGATTTAGAGGGTAGTTTGAGAACCAGTCAATGTAGTAAAGCAAGCAGTCTAGATTCTAAGAAGAGTCTGGGTCATAGAAGTGCTGCATCTGGTTCACCTACAAGGTAAATACTTGTTTTGTTTATTTAGTTTATATACATTTAATTTAGTTTGATTGCGTTTGAAGATAAAAGCTTATTGAAACAGTCTGGAATCCATAGTACTTAGCAATGAATGAAGTTTCTTGCCGAATGAAACAATTAAATGGGTCACGAGGTCAGTAATCCTTAAATTACTAGTCTGACACGTTAACAACTCTGCCACTGTTTTTGTTTATATTACTCATGGAAACATGAAAATCAGTTGAAGTATTGTTTATATTTGTCCATGTAAATGGAAAAACCAGTCAAAAGAGCCAATTAAAATAGGGAAACTACTTGACTGCATCACAGTTCCACTCTATGACAAAGATGACCTCTATTTAAATTCACTTTTAAAAAAAAATAAAAAATTATGCATTGGTAATCCTTTTTGTAAAGTTTGGTTTGTCATTGATATTTGCTTTCTTTTTGGTTTACGGTGGCTCATTGTGACTTGCTTTAATTGAGGTAGTTGAATTGTTGTTATTTCAGAGCCCAGCTGGATAGTCTTTCACAACAAGCTAATACCTATGATCTGCCTGAGAAAGGTAACAAGTCACAGCTGACTGACAATGAGATAATCAGAAAACCTACCCTACCAGCACCTAAAGCAGCTAACTTTACCAAGTCATCAGGTATGATAATCTGTGCTGTGTCTTGAGTTGTCATATAAACAATCCAAAATAACTTATATACACTTGCCATTCTCACTGATATCTTGAATAAGGTTTTTGTGTTAATTCCTTATATTAAGAATCAGAGAAATTTGATATAGGATTGTAAGACTGAACATCACTGTGTGTCTAAGAGAGAGAGATCACTTTGTGAGGGACAAATGTCTTTATGTAGAAATTTGTCAGAGGTATAAACAAGTAATTCTGTTGCAATGGTAGAAACTGGTGAAATATATAGCATTTGAAATATGAAAATATGAAAACATAGGAGAACGAGAAAACACTTGAATATTGTGAATGAATATACATGTAGTATTATAATAAGACTAGAAAAGGTAAAAAGAAAATCATCTTTTAATGATGACTGTTAAAGTAATGAAAGATTTATTGATTATAAAAAGATAAAGACAATTATATTTGAATGATGACGTTGTTTTTGTTTTGTGTAGTAAAATCGAGACAGTCACACTCACAGGGTAGTAGCAGTGGTACAGAGGCAAGTAGACAGTCTAACGTCTCCAACAAATCATCACAGTCAAGTTATACAGATCTTGAGTTTCGTACTTCCCTCACATCAAAGACAGAGGGACAAATGGCAGGTCTCAAGCGTGTACCAAGTTTGGGAGGTGCAAACACCATGGACTTTACTGTTAATGATGAGGACTTCTTTGGAAATGGTTTGTGTTGAGTTTTTTTGTCAATTAACAAAAACCGAACTGTTCTTCCATTAATTTTTAAGAACTAATCTACTTTATAATGCTTTAAATATTTTTAATTATAAATAATAACACAAAGGAAAATCAAGTCTGTCTGATTATGATGTCACGATAAAATAATGTATTATTTTCAAATATAACATTAATTGCTAGATAGTAGAAATTTCCAACATTATGTCCATGATATGATATGACACATTATCATATTTAGATTTGAACTATGACTTTAAATGTTTGGTCATAGAGGATATATTTATTACAGTTGATGGTTGTGCTATGCTAGATGCTGACGAAGTCCAGTTTAATGAAGAACATGTCATACGTCAGGTGAGAAATATATTACCCTAACACAACATTTCAACTCATAACCACAGTAATATACTACCTTTATAAGTTGTCCTACCAGCACTTGATCCATCCTCAAGGCCGGAGAAATTCCTCTGGCACAATTGATATATTGGCTCTAATGATAATTTATCTCTCACTGCAGATTTCAGACATCATGTTGGATTAGTTGTCATTCATATGTGAAGAAACTGGTAATTACTGGTTATTTGTCAAGGATAACCGGCTGGATCGACAGGCCCAAGACATGACCAACATATGTTAAAATCAGTGGGAAAAAAAACCAAACAACCTAACCAGCACTTGACTCCTGCAGTTTGATTGGTTGTTTAATTTCAGTAGTTAGATATTCACTAAACTTTTTGATTGGTTGTTTAATTTCAGTATTTAGATAACTTTTTGATTGGTTATTTAATTTCAGTATTAAGATAAACTTTTTGATTGGTTGTTTAATTTCAGTATTTAAATATTCACTAAACTGAACAATCTACAATTAGAGGTTTGTAACATCTATACCAATATTGAGTAGGTGTAAAGCAAAGAAATATTTCATTCATACATGATATTTCAGGATGATGCAATGGTTGATACAGGCTCACCAAATGATTCCTGGGCATATCGTAGCATCATGACTGTAGCTAGACCATCCTGGCTGGAGGGACCAGAGGAGGAGGAGGAAGTTTGTGTACGAATCTCCGTTGGCACCTTCATGAGAGGCCGCACAGAGGCACTTGGGAGTCTTGGCGGAGAAGATACCGATGAAAGGGTGAGTTAAAAACTCAAATACTTTCAGGAGAGTATAATGTAAGTGTAGTCTTCCCTTATATTTACCTACCTTTTTTCTTTGCACCTCCATTAATTGACTTATATATTTGACTTTGGTATTTTTGTTTTATAGAATCTTCATTTATTGACCAATATCTTGAATATTTCCTGTGTAAGTACATAGCTTGAAGTAGGGTTTGAGGTCAGTTGGGTAAGCACAGGTATTTTCTTTTTTATTCAATATTTTGTGAATGCCATACATATTGAGAGTTTTAGAGTAACAGTTAAAAGCTATTTAACTCAGAATTAGTAACAGAATAGTTTAAAATGATAGCCATTTCTTGTATAAGGAATTTCTAGGGTTTCCCTTTTGAACAAAAAATATTTCTTTAGAAAAGTCAACAGCAACATTCATACATTAGGTATTTGATATGATTGGGTATTTAGGCTTCTCAATTGGAAACTAAAAAAATTGCCTTAAGGAATGCCTCTATTTATCAATAGGATCTGTGTAAGGAAAAAGGCCTCAAAGGTTGTGATCACTTATGCTGACAGTAGATTTTATCTTCTGTTTCTCAAACAGCCTTCATTTTCATTTTGATTTAGATTTATATATCGCAAGTGTTTTAATTTCTGTTGTGCATAGACTTGTTAACTTCAATTTATATAATTCATGTATTTTAGCCTGACTTTGGTATGACATTTAAAAGTCCACCTAAACCAAAGGGTCGTCCAGCTCGCCTGATTGAAGAGCAAGAAGAAGACAGTGTGTTTGAGTCAATGCGTTCTTCTGGTGTCGGACAGCATGGAAGTCGTAAGTTCTTTTGTTATGTTCTCCATTTAGGTACCGGGTTATGAATTTAACAGTTTATAATGCAGTCATAATATATTTTAGCAGACTGAATATCCAGTTTGATAGGGTCATATTTATTCATTGTTCATGTATACACCAATGTATCCTGAATTATTTGATGGGAGAGCAATGGGATCAAGTTGCCATAATGCATTGCAAAAATAAGAGTAACGTTCACTATTTTTTTTATCATGTTTAAATATACAGTTGGTACTTGCGTCCACCTTTATTAAGCGACTTTTTTATAAAGCGGCCGCATAAAATCCCTCCAGATGATTTTTACTGTATAATTTAGTTCCATTAAACGACGATTTTATATCGCGGCCAGCGGCCACTAAATGTCGGCCCAAATGTACAAAATTAAGTGTTAAAGTATCTATTAAACGGCGGTGACAAACAATCGTCCCTACGGGCATTCTCACCTGTGTAATCAGCGAGTAGTTGTGTGATGTGTACAAGCAAATAAACAAATATTTTTCATGGTCATTGGTCACAAATAATTGTCGTTTAAAAACGAAATGAATAACAATTGCAATCGTTTCAAAATCGGATTTTCTGATCGTAATATTTATTGTGACATATTTTGTCAGAGCAATAACGTATCACAACACCGCATTTGCATAGTTTTGTCATGTGCTCAGAGTGAACTCCCTTATCGAAAATGACTTCGGAACAAGCGAAAAAATGACAGACAACTAATAAGGCTAAATTGTATGAGGAAATCGTGCATGGAATTGAGTCTGAGTAAATAGCAAATGTTATCGTTTGTAGTTGAAATAAAATCGTGAAACGTAGTGGACTAAACATTACAGAACCGAGCCTTTCATTGCTGATGGTGTAGGTGCTAATCTGATGCTTTATAAAATACATGTAGTATCCCATTAAATATGACCCTTCGACAAAAAAAAGACAAAACTAGATCTCTAAAAAAAATTATTAGATTTGAAATCGGGGTAGTGTGAAAACTAATTGTTAAAAAAATCAAGAAGTTTAAAACTCATTGCATAAAAAATTATCTGGAGCTCAGGTTGATGATTCAAAAGTATGTTCAGCAGGAGATGTGTATGAACATATTAAAAATATAAGACAATATGCTTTGTTTCATGGTCAAACTGACCTGTTGACAGTATTATGAGGGTAGATCACATTTGTACACAAATTTTTACTAAAAAACAAAAACAAACAATATTGATGGCTTTTTTTTTTAAAAAAAAGGCAAAAATGTAATTATAGAACTGTAATACATACATAATATTGTATAGTTTTTGTTTTTATAAAAAAGATGTTATTATATCTATGACTTGTAAAAAAAAAAGTCTTGAATTTTCCAGAATTCTATTTAGAGACCACTTTATTAAAAGACTACTTTTTGGCAGTCCCTTGAGTGGTCTCTTAATACAATGTCGACTGTATTTGAAAAAGCTTCATGGTTCATTTTATAGATATTTGCTATGTATATAGTTGTAGAAGTATTATGTCATGATCACATCACATGCTGACCAATGATGAATAGTTATTTATTCTATATTATTAGACTGTAATTATTGCCCCCCTATTGATGTAGTTTAATGATTGATTTTTCAGGTACCCCAGTCCATTCACATAGCAATCTTTTATTTTGATCATTTAACCGCCTCCGTGGTCAAGGGGTTAGAGTCAATGGCTTCTAATCCAGTTACCTCTCTGGCGTGGGTTCAATCCCCGGGAGATGCTTTGGTAGTTTAGCACGGAGGAAGGTAGTCTAGTACTGGTGTAACTCTCCAGGAGCGATGGTTAGGAAACTACCCGCCAATATGACTGAAATACTTTTGGGAAAAGGCGTAGAATGAAACAAACAAACAATCTTGATCATTTATTATTTAGTTACTCCAGTAAGTTCACATAGCCAGCTTGTATCCTAATGATTAATTAGTTACTTCAGTATATTCACATAGTGATCCTTTTTATCTCAATGATTGATTATTCAGTTACTCCAGTTAATTCAGATAGCAAGCTTTTATCTCAATGATTGATTAATTAGTAACTCCAGTACGTTCACATAGTGATCTTTTTTCTCAATGAATTCTCAATGATTGATTATGCAGTTACTCCAATACGTTCACACAGCGAGCAAGATCAAGATTCAACTCTAAAGATGGATTCTCTTTTGAAGACGCCCACACCCCAATCTCCTTTGTCAATCACCGCTTTGACTGGTGAAGGTTTTGGACTCAAACCTATAGCAACCAATGATTCAAGTAAGCCAACATTTTCATATATAAAATGAGAGTGTGATGGCAAAACTCCTCATAAGTTACTGACTAATATTAAGCAGAAGTTTACAAAAAAAATAGTTATCAGGGACAATGAAATTAGACAATTTGTTTCTGTAAGAAAACTTTGTCATGTTATTGCATTTAGTATGAAGTATTTTAACTCGTGATTATCTGAACACATGGTGCTGTTGACATCTTGCAGGTTCTTATGGCTGTCTGTCTGCTATCATTTTTTTTTTTTAAGGGTAAAAGGGCTGAGTTGTTAAAAAAAATGAAGTCATTTAAAAATGAAGGCATATAATATTTACCTGTCTAGATTTTTGTTTTCTATTCTATAAGGAAAAACTTAACAAAGAAATTAGATATATACTGTGTGTACAGTAGTTGTTAATTTTCGTTCACTTTTCTGATTTCAGCAAAGTTAAGTATGGGTGAAATCAGTATGATGTTGAAGGGAGCTGATACTAACATATCTGACTTCCAGAAAAAATATGCTTTAAAATCAAAGTCCAAGTTTGGATTTCAGCATCAACAAACTAATAACAACTCCAAAGTGCCTTCAAGCATACCTTCACCTTCTACAGCAAGCAGTAGGTCGCCGTCTAAATCATCACAGCTTCCTGTAAGAAAAGGTTCTGATATTAGTCGAAGTTTTCGTAAAGTTACAAATTCTGATACATCTTTGTTAACAAGTGCTTCAAAGCAGAAAGAAAGCAGTACAGATTCTGGGTTCAGGAGTGGATCAGTCCATAACTCTATACGAACTTTAACCGAAACTGAGCACCAGTCTGCTGACAGTAACTTATCTGCATCACCAAAGACACCAACCAATGACAGCTTCACAGGGGACGGTATTTGGTCATCACCAAACACATCCAACTTTTGCCCCAACACTAATGGTCTATTAGATAAATTAGACAATTTTAAGTTCGCTGATAGTAAACAGAGCTTGTTTCAAAAAGAGCTGTCTGACAATTTGAAAGAAAAGTTACAAACTACACAGTCTAAGGACACTTGTCAAAGTCGGATGTTAAAGGGAGATAATTTCATGCAAAATGATAGAGAAAAGACTCCTCCCCCTGATGGACAAACAAATAAAGATAGTGATAAAATATCTACAAATATTAAAGGAGTAACACCACAGGTCACGCGTAAATTCGGAGATGATTTTAAATTTGATAATTATAGAATAGACAAAGATAATACGAGTTCTGTAGAGAACAGAGGTAGACAGACTAGTAAAGGGAATTCACCTGTACATGATAAACGATTACTTGATGATGATATGGAATGGTCGCGTTTAGACAGCTCAGATATTGATCATGGTTATATGCCAGGTCATCATATCCCAGATGGTACTGAATACAGTCAAAGATCAGACTACTCTCACATAAATCATAGAGGCGAGTTGAGAGAAGATGTGGCGGGACTTGACGATGTGGGACTTGCTGAGGCAAGGGGATTTGATGTTCTTAAACATAAGGATAACAAGTTAAATGACCTACAAAAAGACAATAAAGTGCATAATTATAACTCAGACAAACCTTCAAGTGCTCAGAACAAACTGTCTGTCAATTTACAACCAACACAAAGTAAAAGTCCAATGATACGACTAACTGATGGTAATGGAAAGAAATCTCAGACTGTGTCACAAGGTCAAGGTTTGAATAAGGATGATAACTTCAAAATACCTGAGGTTCCAAGTAAGAGAAGGACTGAAAAGTTCGAGAGCTGGACTCAAACCTCTGTAGTTTTAGGTCAGACTGAACCTCAAGATCATATGAACATTCGTCAAAACAGTGCTCCACAACCTGAAACAAACAAGTCCTTTAATGCATCAGGTATACCACCTCAACACCCTGTGTCAAGCTTTAAGCATAATCTCTTGCCAAATAATCAATCTGCTGTGTCTGAAACTCCTCATTTGTTGACAAAACAGTCATTAATGCAGACTGATTTTGCTAAAGAAAATCTAAGGAGGGACTATAGTGTACAAGTGATGGATCGTAACTATTCTAGAAACAGCACTATTCACCAGGACAAGTTTCACACTATAAATGCTACAACTTCAGATTCATACTTCTGTCAAACTGGTCGTGATTCTCTAGAATCTAACACGGACTGGCACTACTTGCAAGGAAGAGAAACTCTTGATACTCAAGGTGAGTAATTATATAATGAAAATAACCGTTTTATATCTAAAGGTAATATTATTAGTAGTTGGAATTTTTTTGTTTATAATGAATAAAGTGTTTGATGACCTTCCATTCAGGATAATGTTTTGAAGTACTACAAAATCATTATGTTTATGGGGCATTAATTTTCATGGATATGTCAATCCACGAATTTAAGATGCAATGAAATTTCCTTTAAGTCTACTATAAGATCATTTTGCATCACATTTACAGTTTACCTTTTAGAAAACTCCACAAATATAAGAACCCACAAAAATGTTTTTTATGACAAAACCATGAAATTTACATGCCCATCATGCATGAAATTAAGTGAATTCACAGTAATATGATTAAAGTGTATTTACATAAAAGTATGTATTTTTCATACATTTTCAATATTAGAAAAGATAAATTTCTGAATACTCTGTAAATTTAATTGATTATATTTTTTTTTACAATAGTAACTGAATTAGAATCTTATATACATAAACTTATAGCTGGAGATTTTCCACGATTGAGTGATATCAACACAAACTACAACGACTATTCAACATTTGAACGACATGCATCTGCCCAATCTACGCCATATTTTCAAAATGAACCAGTGTTTGACAGATTGTGTGGTCGTCCAGGTACCAGTATGTATTCTCAGACAACATTGATGTCAACACCATGTAACATGCAGTCACAACTGTCTGAACATAATCTATCGGCCACTGATGATAATCTGGCTAGACGTTTTACTGACAGAACACCGGGTAACTTTTTAACCTGCTTAACTTATAAAATACTCTCGTGCTGTTTAGAAATTTAAAAATGTTGATTGTGAGTTCATTATTATAATATAGAAATGATGATTGTTAGTTCAAAGGATTTCATTGTGCAAATAACCTGTATAACAAGTGAATTAACAGTAGTTTCAGGATAATTATGAAGATCAGCCTGGTTTATCATCATTATCAGTAGTGGCCGTACAAGGTTAACAGTGCTGAAGATCTTCGTTAAAAATATTGTTATGAAAGGTGTCATTTGAGACATACCTCTATCATGCTGGATTTGTATATTGTGCAATGTTCTTTAAAAAAAAAAAAAAGAAATGTTGTGATAATGATTTCACTATGTATATATGTACATGTTTTACAGCCCCTGCTTTCCTCTGTCCTGTGGAAGTACCTGGTGTGCTAGAGTTCTCTGAGGTCTGTTGTGTTGGAATATCAACAAAAGAGGTTCTGATGTTAAGAAACCCAACAGATAAATGGATGGAATGTATTTTAAAGGTGAGATACAAGAATTATTTCAACTGAATCTTGCCCTTATTATTGTCAAAGTGCTATGTCCCAATGTGATCTGAAGACTTACTCTGCTACAAAGAGTTATGTATGGTCTTTTCAAGCACTGTGTCTTAGTTAATCTATGGTCATCATGGTCCTCCTGTTTTATCTTTATTTTGGAATCATTTCTCTTACTGACTTACGGTAATGTTTGTTTATTTACAGGTGAAGTCACTAGAGATAAATGGTCAGCCTGTCAGTCCCAGCAACTCAGCCTTCACATTTAGACAAAACAAAGTTATCATTAACCCAGGGAAGACTGAGGGAGTAAATGTAAATACATCTTCTATGGAATTAGAATGATTACATAAGTAAAAACTGTATCAAATATATAAAATTGTCAATATATCTGTTAATTATTTTACAATTAGTTAAGTTTTTTTTCTGAATTTCTCATTACCTTGTCAGCTGTTTGTATTTTAATGTATGTATACAGATAACTTATAACAATACAAAGCTTATAATGGGGTTGCAGTTCCGACTCTTGTTTACAAATCGGTTGTTTTTCGGATATAGCGATATCTGGATATCTGCAACATAAATTTCGCAGACCTCTGAATATCGAAATAAACGGAAGTTACTGTATATGTTTACCTGTACATGTTTACTGCCATGTGTGTTTATAGACTAAAATACTAGTATGTACATGTAGCAAGGGAGAGAAACAATTATAACTTCATTTATTAACATTATATACATGTTCAGTATAAATTACTGTTATTGCAGATTATGTTTTTACCAAACTGTGCTGGAACATATGTTGCCCATGTACAAGTATTTTCACACTCGTGTGTGAAGAAGTATGATGTTTATCAAGATGCCATACCAGTCAATGTTACACTACAAGCTATAGCAGAAGATCCATGGATTAGTGTAAGTTATCATTATACTGTTGAATATCCTGAAATAAATTCTGGAATTTTATTATTATTATTGATTAGGAAATCACTGTAAAACTGTCCAGTTGATTATCTAACAGTATATAGCCTAGTCACACTGCACATACAGTTTTTTGAAATTTTTTAAGTAGATAATGGGAAGATTCATTAAGTACTTAAATTCTTAATACATGGCATTTGCATTACTGAATTAAAAATTACGGTATAATTTTTCTCTTTGTTTAGAAATGAGATTCTATAGTTAAAGTTTTCACATTTTGTATACAATATATGTATTTAACATGTAAATGCTGAGTAATTTCTCACATTCAGCTTTTACTGGTGATTTCAAACTTTGCTAATGCCCTTTTGTAATGTAAATGAACTTTTAACTGATATAAACAGTAGCTAACAAAGTCTTCTGTTTAATTATTTTAGACAATGATGCCTCTTAAACACTCTACTCTTTAATATTCATTTCAAAATATCTCAATATATCATTGTAAAAGTAATGTCCAAGTCACTTTAACACTTTTTTCTGAATGTATTTAGGTGAAAGAGAAAACCAAAGAGGATTGTGGAAAAAGAAGCTCAATTGATTTTGGTGAAATGGTTTGGGGCTCCTGCGGGGAAAAGACAATATTTATCAGAAATAATGGACTAGCTACAGTCCCTCTTAGACTTGCTATCATGTCTGTAAGTATGGTTATATTTTCATTGATACAAAATTTGGTAATGTGGCTTGTAAATGATAATAAGATTTGAATAAGAAATAAAATATTGTAGTCTTACATGAGGTCTATTTTTAGGGGTGACAAATAGAACTAGTCTCCTCAGAATTGTGTTTGTTCTTCTGTTATTTTTATGCCACCGCAGCATCTGCGATGCGGTGGCATATAGCGATTCACCTGTGTGTGTGTGTGTTTGTGTGTGTGTTTGTGTGTGTGTTATATAGAATATATAGTGAACTTAAAAAATCTTCTTGTGAAAAACCACTAGTCCAATTTCAACCAAACTTGGCAGGATTGTTCCTTGGGTGAAGGGCTTCCAAAGTTGTTCAAAGAATTTCATTCCATGCAGAAATCTGGTTGCCATGGCAACCAAAAGGAATTATAAGAATAAATTTAAAAAATCTTCTTGTAAAGACCCAAAAGGCCTAGAGCTTAGATATTTTGCATAAGGCATTGTCTGGAAGACCTCTAACAAGATTGTTCAAATTATAGCCCTGGGGTCAAAATTGGCCCCGCCCCGAGGGTCATTGATTTTCACTATGTACATATACATGTAGTAAAAACTTAAAATACCTTCTTGTAAAAACCCAAAAGGCCTAGAGCTTAGATATTTTGCATAAGGCATCTTCTGGTAGACCCTTACCAAGATTGTTCAAATTATAGCCCTTGGGTCAAAATCGGCCCCGCCCGGGGTCATTGATTTTCACTATATGTACATATAGTAAAAACTAAAATACCTTCTTGTAAAGACCCAAAAGGCCTAGAGCTTAGATATTTTGCATAAGGCATTGTCTGGTAGACCTCTACCCAGATTATTCAAATTAAGCCCTGGGGTCATTGGTTTTCCTTATATGTATATAGTAAAACTTATAGTAAAAACTTAGACAAGTGCTAGAGGTTAGATATTTTGCATGAAACATTGTGTAGTGAACCTCTAGCACGATTGTTAAAATTATAGACCTGGGGTAAAAATTGCCCCGCCCCGGGGGTCATTGAATTTCAATAAAAACATATAGTAAAAAAATCAAAAAATCTTATTGTCTGAAGGTACAAGGCTTAGAGCTTTAATATTTGTTAAATTATATCATCTGATGGTACTCTACAAAATTTATTCAAATTTTGCCTCTTGTGTCAAAATTAGCCCCGCCCCCTGGTGGCCATAGGTTTTCCTTATATGTATATAGTACAAACTTAAAAAATCATCTTCTCTAAATTTACAAGGCTAGAGTTAAGATATTTTGCATGAAACATTGTGTAGTGAACCTCTGGCAAGATTGTTCAAATTATAGCCCTGGGGTCAAAATTGGTTCCGCCCCGGGGGTCATTGATTTTCATTATGTACATATAGTGAAAAAATAAAAAATATTTTTGTCTGAAGGTACAAGGCATAGAGCTTTGATGTTTGATATATAATATCATTTATAGGTCCTCTACCAAAGTTGTTCAAATTTTGCCTCTTGTGTCAAAATTAGCCCCGCCCCCTGGTGGCCATAGGTTTTCCTTATATGTATATAGTACAAACTTAAAAAATCATCTTCTCTAAATTTACAAGGCTAGAGTTAAGATATTTTGCATGAAACATTGTGTAGTGAACCTCTGGCAAGATTGTTCAAATTATAGCCCTGGGGTCAAAATTGGTTCCGCCCCGGGGGTCATTGATTTTCATTATGTACATATAGTGAAAAAATAAAAAATATTTTTGTCTGAAGGTACAAGGCATAGAGCTTTGATGTTTGATATATAATATCATTTATAGGTCCTCTACCAAAGTTGTTCAAAATTTTCCCCTGGTGTCAAAATTGGCCCTGCCCGGAGGCAGTGATTCTCATTATGTACACATAGTAAAAACAGAAAATAAAACAAATGTTTTCTGAATGGGAGAAAGCTATAGCTTAGATATTTGACTTGAAATGTTGTTTGGTGGACCTGTATCAAAATTGTTTTGAATTAAACCCTTGGGTCAAAATTATGCCTTGCCCAAGGGGACAGTGACCTACTTTCTTGTCCTTTGATGTCAGCAATGACATTTTGACCATGTGCACAGTTTTAGTTGTAAAATTGAACTTTGATATCAGGTGACCTAGATTTTGATGATGTGACCTACTTTCTTGTCCTTTGGTGTACAGCTATGAAATTTGAACCATGCGGTGGCATAGCATTTTTCTCAAATGCAATCTTGTTTTAGAGCTATATCTCGATAAATAATGCATGGATTTGATTTAGACTTGACACATTCATTTCTGGTGACAAAATTTAGCCCCATAATTCTTAGATAGCATACAAAATTACGGCCTGTTACAATATATTGAATTTTAGACATGTCATTGTGAGGTAGAGATAGTTAAAGTATTACGTGTTTTGCCTTCAGAACAAAGGCTGGCATTGTTTCTCGTTTGAGCCGGAAGGACGACAATCGGATGTTTCTATGATATCAGGTCGGCAGGCACCCTCATCTAGTCACGGGAGAAGCATTATGAATGTTTGTCTGTCAGGATTTAATCAACCATTTAACAACTATCATGAGGTGAAGGTTTGGTGTAGACCACCAGAAAAACAATGTACCAAAGGTAATGTTTTACTTGTAGTTAGTCTGTGTGTGTGTGTGTAGTCTATGTTAAATGAGGGTCCAGCTACCAATGTAGGGCACAAAAGCAGCTTTCACTCCTGAGAACTGACCCCAGACACGTCACCAGTCATGCTCTTAAAGGGTAAATTTTGAAGCACAAAGTGGTGATAATATATCTCCATGCAATTTTCACAGAGTATTAGCCAAAGATATGACTTTTGAGCCAAAAGGTGGTCAATGAGAACCTAAATGTACAATAACCTACAGTTAAACTTAAATAATCTTACTATGTGATTAAACTATGAGAATTTCAAGTTCTTAAAGATACATCTAATATTTTCCTGTTATAAACTTATTATATAACTATAAGAATATTAAAGAAACTCCGCCTAAAAACATGAGATTCGAATTTTCTTACCAGCAGGGGTAACATTGAATCAGTGTTTCTATTTCAGCTTTATGTAGACAACCCCCGGAGATATTTAGCTGTGATATTGATGTAGAAGTGGATATACCAAACTGTAAATTTGCTAAACTAGCATCATTACACCTTACAGCAACTGTTGGTGTTAGAAAACTTCATATACAATCTAATCTGAAGGTAATAAGTAAATAAGTCTAAGTGTAATTAAGGATGTATGTAAGTAATTGCAAACTGCATGTGAAAGTTAACATAATACATACATTCTTTTCACTATTTCAAACCCAAACTTTTCTCTGAATAATATCAAAGTGTCACAGTGAAGATTTTGTCAAGTTGAATTTAAATTAATGTAAAAATGTAGAATAGCAGTTATAAGATGCCAATGGCTAAATATATTCCTCACATGAAAGAATCCAAAATCCTTGGGAGATTCAAACATACAGCAGTGAGGGCCAAGTGGTTTGAAGTCAAAAACATTAATCACTCAGTCAAGGATGCCCCACATGTCAAAAGAATTGTTTCCAAATAGTGCAAATTAATGTTTACAATTATAAAAGATGTAGAAGTAAATATGACACCATCATGCTTCAAAATGTAATTTTAAGATTTTTACTTAACTTTCAGGAAATACATTTATCATGTCCTCTAAACAAAACTCAGGAAAGTGGATTTAAGATCTATAATGCTGGAAACCTACCACTAGATGCACAGTTTGGATTCTCTATCCATAAACAGTCTTTCTCTGTGACACCAACTTCAATCATTCTGAAACCAGGCGTAGATGCTGAACTACGTGTGAAGTTCATGCCTACTGATATATCATCAAAGACGTTGTCTACGTAAGTTATCTACCCTGCTTATCAGATGTAAAGCAAACTGTGTAATCAATAGTTATATCTGATTTTAAAAAATAATTGTGATATATAAAAAAAAAATTGCAGAAATTTTCGCAGCTTGTGAAAATATCGCCTTATGAGACTATGCTGAAATATATGTTATTAGGAACTCGGCAAATGTTGGTTTTTCATGCTAATCCCACAGTACAAACAAACTTACTGTTTGTTTGTTTGTACCCTTGGATTAGCTGGGGAAAACCCAAATATTCTTAATTCTGGAGTAAGTCTATTCAAATGTTGAAAATGTTTAAAAAAAAAATTAAAATATTATACACTTCAGATAATGATATATTTTGATGTGTTTTGTTAGGTGGCGCGATAGCTCAGTTGGTTAGACCATTGACTGTCACTCCTGAGGTTCTGGGTTCAATCCTGGGTAACGCCCTTGGGATTTTTCAGAGACACTCAGTGTTTCCCACCTACCTAGAGGTTTACTGGTATTAAGAAACCCAGGTAATCCTCGCATGTATCAGTGTTTTACACTGGGCATGTAAAAGAACCAAGGGATCTATTCATTAAGAGCTAGGGACTGGTTCCTGGACTCCTTTGTATCTCATAGCTGTCTCTAGAGTCTGTTGAGGTAAGGACACTACTGGAAATAAGTGCTTGCACTTTCATAGGTTATCCTTGACCACCCAGTCTAAAGAAAATCAATCAATCAATTGTTTTATATACATTAAAACAGGTTGTTGCTGATGTTAGTAGAACCTGACAGACAAATGTATGAGCTAGCAATCCAAGCGGAGGTAAAACCAGAAGATAGAGAAATACCTAAATTACTCAGTGATCGAACTAAGATTGACTTTGGAGGGGTTCCTATTGGTAAAACATGGTGAGTTACATTTGTCATGTTTTTCTATTAAACTGAACATGGTCAAAGTCTTCTCTGTGACAACATTGTTAAGGATGTTAACATGGAACCATAGCAATCTAACATTTCTACTGCCGTATCTGTAAGCTAGTGAAGGAATTGAATAAGTGACCATAAACATTGATTACTCGGCAGAAATGTTAAGCATAATGAGATAATGTATTGCTCACAAGACACAGGTCTGTTGCTCTAATGTCAAGGTCACTCCTGAAGGCTCTGATATCAAGGTTACTCTTGAAGGCTTTAATGTCAAGGTCACTCTTGAAGGCTTTAATGTCAAGGTCACTCTTGAAGGCTTTAATGTCAAGGTCACTCTTGAAGATAAAAGGTAAAAATAATGATCTCTTTTCTCCATATGCTGTCTATAACATTGTTAATCCTTGATGAATTTGAAATTGGTTAAATGAAAAATTTACCATCATAAGATGATGTCATTCCTTGTTGAATGTTTGAAATTTTAACACATTGAGTTAATGTCTTACACACTGTTACCAGTTCTGAAGAACCAAGGCCATACTTAGAGATAAGCTCCAAGGTTGACTTGGAGATCAAAAATGGTTTCTGTTTTCTATGATTAATTTATAATACATTGTACTATTTTCAGTGTGAAGAGATATAGATTAATCAACAAAGGTACAGAGGCAGTGAAAATGAGAGCCATGGTTAAAGCTAGTAATATATTGGTAGGTAATTTCATGCTTGTTGCTGGTTTCATTAACAACAACTAAAAATCATATAAGATTCATTTTGTTTAAAAATTAGAATTTATGTAGTTTTTAAAGTACTAGCTTTAATTTTTGTTTTCTTGATGCAATTTATATTCAATAGCCACTACTAAGTTTTCTTCAGTAATGTGACTATATTACAATGTATTATTTCTGTTGTTTTACAGATTGCCAGATCAGCAGATCCTAATACTGTAGGAAGTAAGTCCCTGGACTTGTTCCTGCCAGCAGAAGAGATTATCCCTGTATATGTCTTATATAATCCTGTCTTAACTATGATGGCGGAGGGCAAAGTTGTTATGAAATCAGTGACATCTCCTGAATCTCTTAAATTTTCTGTAAGTTTATTTTGTGCTTCCTTATATACAGGTTAATTTACCAGTGGTTTTGAAACAGCTCTCTATAAACGTTATAGAGTCATTGTATGACGTAGTACTATGATTTTATGAAATATTTTTGTTAATATTTCATTACCTTAGTGCACTATAACAGGTTAACTCCTATTAAATTATATAAGAAGTTAACCAGTTATTTCTTTAAGGTGATGATTTACTTCTAAGTTATTGTGTACCCATGTCTTAAATATAAGTCCCTGTTTAAAATGTGAATAATAATTTTGTTGCTTCATTAAAGATAGAAAGTATATGCTGGTATAGTATATGTGATTATATATACGTACCAGGTGTTGGTAGTGGGATGGCCCTTAAGAATGTTGTTTGGGTTCTAACTGGTAGAGGACTTTTGTATTTCTTGTAATACTGTGATAATTGATTGTTAATTGCTGGATTATATACATACTAGGTGTTGGTAGCAGGATATGGTGGTGTAAGTCGCCTGTGTTGTTCAGAAGAGGCTACTACAATGTCTAGTGTTAGAGGATATCCATGTGTTGGTATACAGAATTTCTCACTAGGCAAGGTGAAGGAAGTAGCTATACATAACGTTGGCATGCGACCAGCTCAAGTCAGAGTTGCTGTATTTAAAGGTATATTTCATTCATGCCCCTCCCCCCACCCCCCTTGTTTATTTTCTTGCATACAAGTTAGCTGTTTTTGGTCCATAAATACTTCCCAAAAGTTTTACGGCAATCACTACTCCTTAAGTAATAAAGTAATGGATTGAAAGATACCAAAATTTACAATGATGTTCAAATGTGGGTGAGGTTTTTTTTTTAATGAGATGTAAATGAGATTGAACCAGTACACCATGATTTTGTTTGTTTTGTTTTTACTTAGAGTCATAATATAGTTTTACATTGGTCTTATGTTAAAGTGCCCTTCCTTGTTTTACTAATACAGGTTACATAAGAAGAGAAAATATATTGTAAATATTGTAACTAGTACCTTATTTATATATAAAATAAGCAACAGCTGTTCAAATAATGATAAAACATTAAAGCTCCATCAGACGTAGGACTCTCATGTTGTGAATATGATAATTAGTTATTACTTAACTTATCTCAACAATTAGTTTGTTTTAAAATAAGCACTTGTTGCAACTTGTAATTAAAGTATCGTTGTTATTTTTTCTCCCAGATTTAGAATGTCGGGAACGTATGTTGAGTGGACAAGTTGTTGTTCAGCCGAGCGAGTTTGTGATTGGGGAGAATGAACGTGAGAAGTTAGAGATAGTTGTGAGTATGACAGAGAGAGAGTTCATGTCCCAGGCTGACTCACAAGGTGTAGGAGCTGTTCTCTGTCTTGCATACAAGGATAGAGTAGATTCTGAAAAACCTCATGGGTAAATATATATATACTTGATATTGCTTTAAGTCATATACCAGTATGTATATTTAAAATTGATGTTATTAGTTTTTCTGTGATTTTGATTTACCATTATTTTCGTGAAAATAATATTTAGATACATACTTGGATTGAATTTTAAGATATTGTCTGCATAAAAAAAAAATTGATATTTAAAAATTTGTAACAAACAATGCATATTTAATAAATGAAAAAATTGTGACATGAATTCTTATTATGTATTTGTTTTACTAATTTTTAAAGGTAGAAATCATGAAGTAAAATAGTGTTAAGTTATACTCAGTACCTGATTTAACCGTTAGTCCATTAGAAGTATTAAGAATCCTAATTTTAGAATATTATAGGATATATATATTATCAAATTAGTACCTCAGAAGATATGTCTTCTTCACAAAGTGGTTAAGGTCTTGCACTAATGTAGGTTCAAATCTGAGTAGGGAGTTTAGATTCCTCCATGTGAGGGAACCAACCATCTAGTTTACAGAAAGTTGATGATTCTACTCTGGTATCTGCTCATGTCTGAAATAACGCCCAAGATATGTTAAGAATGGCTTCTTCAACAGTAAAACTAGAAATGCTTTATGACTTTTTGTTGGTGGGAGTTATAAAAAAAAACTCTGCCTTATAATATTTTCTACAGATTTATTATTAATCATGATGATATACAAATGTTGTAGATCACAGCTGATTGTTGGGCTTGTTAAAGGGGCTCAACCTAAGATTGTTGACGATGTAACACGGACACCTAGTATATCTAGTCGGACAATGAGGTTTACACAACACAGCTCGGATCATTCCAGATTTACTGATTACAATCAACTAAATGACAAGTAATGTCTAAATGATTACCTCTACCACTGTATATCTTAAAATGTGGAATAAGTTTGTGTGATTTTAAATTGTTTATCAAGTGTCCTGTTTAACAATGCTTTAAAGCTTTTAGGGATAATATTAATAGATTAGTTGTCAGCAGTGGTAACTATAGTAATAGATCTACCTGCTTAGCTGAATAGGAAGAGCATCAGACTAGTAATCTATAGGTAGCTGGTTTGATCCTCATGCAAGAGGTCATTTCTCTGTTACAATTTCATCTCAGACATTGCGTCTATCTGGGAAAGCCAGTTAGATGCATTGACTGCTGAGATTTGACAAAAAATGTGCAAAAATTTGCATGAAAAACAAAAATTAAATTGTAAAGTTCCTTTTCTTACAAAGAAAATGTAAGTATATGAAATAAATTGCCAAAGAAATCTGAACCAGTAGTTTTGCTTCAACTTAATGAATGAAAACAAATGAATTTAACATTTACAAATCAAGTAGGATGTGTAAATTTTGATGACAATAATTACTATGTCCCATTAGACATATCCTGGTTTTATGTTTCAGGAATGACAGTATGAATGTTTCAAATTCTTCATGTAAATCAGATAACACCGGAGGCTGGACCCTCAAACCTCAACAGTTAATTCTCTACTGCTCTAGCCGAGGTATAATGGCAGTTATCTATTCTATTATTTTACCAATTTTTATATAACACAGAAAGAAAACAGTGTCATGGTAATTCATGAGTGTTATATGTCTTTTTATATAAGAGATTTTAGCATCTGTTTGATTAATTATACAAGAAATTAGTATTTCCTTCGTCTATAAACAGGGTTCCCACGCTACCGGAAAAACGGGAAAAGTCCGTGATTTTCAAAATCGCGGCTCCCGGTCGTGAAAACGCCGGGAATTTGCTCCGTCCGGGAATATTCCGGGATTTAGTCCGTACCGCTAAGGGAAGTAATCGATATTGAACAATATGGCTGCCGCCGAAGCAACGTCCATTTCCTGGTTTGGATTATTGATGTTTTCTTCCACCGAGGATGGTTTTAACAAGCCATCTTGGTATTTTGAACATTTTACAAATCAAATTCAGCTTTTTATACGGCAAATGCCGTAATGGCTTTGAAACCTCGCTAGAAATTCACAATAAAAACGAACGAAAAAATAATAAGCACGTCCGTGTTTCCGGAGCACTTGAATTTACTGCACAGTCGTCCAGTTGAGTCAGCAAATATGTCATCTGCGTTAGTGCGCCAGTTGCGAGGCAGAGAAATAGGAATAGAAAAAAAAGCAACAAAACAAATTACACCTTATACATTTGGATCTGACTGGCATCAAAAAATGACATCTTTTGTAATATATATGAGCCACCCCATGAGAAAACCAGCAAAGTGTGTTTGTGACAAGCATGGATCCAGATGAGTCCTTCACATCTGCACAGTCTCATAAGGATCCATACTGTCTGCCTAAAGCTTGTGTAACATTTTTAACATCTGAAAGCAAACTTCATGGATCCTGATGTGACTGCATGGATAGCCAAGCTTGTCTGGATCCATGCTAGTCACACAAGCACTTTGTTGGTTTTCTTGTGGTGCTGCTAAAACATATGTAATTACTTTGCTGAAAATTTAATATCATTGCCTCGTTTCTCATTTACAATTAAAGTTTTGTTATGACTGACCCATGTTTCAATATTGTAAATATATACTGTTTTCATTAAAATGACAAAACTCTTACAGGCCAATTAAGATTTGTCATTCGTGCAAGTAAAATGAACAATATTTTTATATGCCCGTTTAAAAAACGGGACATATTATGTTTCCACCCTTTACGGGCTGGTGGGAAGTCTGGAAAAAACCTGGAATTCTCAAATTGAAAAACCTGGAATTTTAAAAAAAATCCTTGAAAAAACCTGGAATTTCACTCCTAAATAATAGTGGGAACCCTGTATAAAGTTCAAATTGACCTGTCTGTGTGTGGGGGGGGGGGGATTCTTTTCATGAAAATTCAAAACAAGTATGTTTTTGCTGATGAAAAATGAATGCAAGAGTATTTTATATTCATCTTTATTTTGTCCACGTAATTACATTATTCTATATAGAAACATGTTTTAATTTGAATTTCAGGTCCAGGAGATGAACTAGACAAGTTTTATATACATAACAATAATAACAGAGATATCAAGTAAGTCTTACTCTCTCCTCACCTTGTATAACTATTTTATATCAAGTTATGTTTTAGTATTTTGTTGCAAATTTTTAGTTGTGAATTTCTTGTTGTATATAATTACTAAGAGGATAATGTTTGTTTGAGTGAAATATGGAATATATTTTCATGAAACAAGATAAAAATTCCATATATTTTCACAAGCTGGAAAGGCGAGAAAAATATATTGAATTATATCATGTTAAGTGAAAATATATACCATATTTCATTATAAATGAAAAATAACCTTTATATTTAATTTTACCTGCAAGAAAAAAAAAACAAATGTGTACAAAAACTTCCATTTGTTACGCAGTTGCAATTGTTCTTTGCACAGTACAGTGGAACCTGTCTAATCCGAACTCGTCCGGAACAGAAGAAAAGTTTAGATTAGAAAGGTTTCCGGATTAGAAAGGTTTCCGAATTAGAGGGTTTGTTTACATGTTTTTTTCATGTTATTTGCAAAATAGTTCAAGGAAAGAAAACGGGAATGCATTTGAAATTGCAATTTAGATATTTTATTTTTGCAGTCTCTTATCGTTCATTTTAATACATGTGAATACAAAAATAAAGAAATGAAAATAAATAAATAAGCAAAAATATCATGTCCTCAAAGGTAATTTAACCTACGATGTTAAACAGGAGGCCGAGACATGATAAGATATTCGTACCAGCATTTGTCAATTGTTGTTTACTCTTATCCGATTCAGCGACTATCCGAATCCACTGACAGTTTCCATTAATTTTCATTACTTAATCACGTATCATTGAATCCAATACAAAGGATTAAAAGATATTTCTATTGCATTATATCAAAATATTTATAAAAGCAGACGAAAAACAATCAATTAAGCAATTATAGAAGATATCAAGGCAAGCTAAGTGTAATAATCACACCTTCGCAGATCATACGTTTCACTCATTAATCAAGCGAAAAAACACTTATCAGTTTGGTGTATGTTAACACCTGCAAGATGTGCGATTATTTGTTATTTTGAATGAATGTGTGACATTTGGCAAAATATGTTTAGATCCGAGAGGTAAATTTTAGAGTAAAATAAGAACAAAAATTGAAAAAAATCGTCCAGAATTCGGAGTAGACAGGTTCCGGATCCGAAAGGTTTTTTACTATTGAAAATAGAACGAATAAAATCGGGACTGGAAACTTCGTTCGGATAAGAAAGGATTCCGGATTAGAAGGGTTCGGATTAGCAAGACTCCACTGTAATACATTGACTGTTTATAGTTGTGTGATGCAGTCCAATACAAAATTTATTACAGCCATCTTAAACGGTCTTGAGAAAAACAGATAATTTCTGATATTTAAATGAAAGCTGAAGCTACTGACTGCCTTAGAAAATCATCTGAGAAAGTAGTCCCAAAAAAATAAATATGAGTTTTGACTTCGCCCATTTTCATGTACATGTATATTTGACTAATATAGCGCCATATTTCATGGGTAAAATTTTGTAAAAAGCATTATTTACCTCTATCATGACAGTCATAAATTTGGATATTGTTTCATTTCAATATGGCTCAACACTTCATCTTAAATTTTACGTGTTATTTTAATTGTGAATTAATATTTGTTAAACAGTTTATTTGTACTGTTTCAGGTTTGAGATAGCATGGCCTGGAAAGATGTTATCTGTAACCCCAGCTGATGGTACTGTTAATGCAAGGTTAGTCTTTCTTATATTTGTTCTAAATATGAAGACATCAAGGGGAGCGGTGGCCTAGTGGTCAAGGTGTCTGCCCGTCAACCCATGGATCATGGGTTTGAGCCCTACTTGGGTCACGATCAAGATTCCTCATATGACACCAGTACCTGTTAGCTTCTGGAAGCGGACTGGGAAGTGATTAATATAATTGCAAGAACTTGTTTTGCAAATGAGCTAAAATAGATAAGTTTTAACTAAAAATAAAGACCACATTTGTTTGTGGTGTTTGTTCAGAATTTTTAACTTATAATGCTGATATCAGTAAAATACATTTATAATCAAATGACTATTCAATTTAGTTTGGTAAAACACAACATAATATATAACATACAACAAAAATACTTCAGCGATTATTGGTTGTGGCTTGCAACCCTAAATTTGCATTATGAGTATATAAGGCAATTCCATGATATAAAAAGCAATGCTTTCTCAATGCTATCTCAAAGAGCTTAAAGAATAGTTTATAAAATGTGTCTATGAATTGTATTGTATGAACATGCAGATAACTGAAACTAGCATTAGTTATTCTTCTCTATTTTTGTATACAGAGAGAATATGTATATAAGGATATTTCCTACAAGTCAAGTATCACAATGTCTGGAGAAATTACCTTGGTCTGGTACTGTAATGGTAACTTGTGATGATGTGACAAAGGTAAGCTGTTGTATTAGTAGGTCTGTTTAACTTTATATCTTGTTTAAATTAAGCCAGTTATGTACTTTTGAATATCCAATGTGTTATTTAGAAAGTGGCAGATTTACAATTTTGTAAAAAAAAAAAAAAAAAAGGCAGTATTTGGTTGTAATACAAAAAACTGTGTCTTGTATTGATGTATTGTTTCCTTGTACACACTCTTGTTTACCATAGGTCAAGGTCATACTTTGAGGTGATTTAAAATTTCATGAAAATTTGCTCGTCTGATCTATATCTGTCATGCAATATCTTGCAACTTTACATTATTGTTTGACTTAAGAAGACCATGTCATATTAGTAGTTCAAAAACCATTGATATTTTAAGAGGTCATTAGGTTATCAGTTTGTTCAACTTTTAAATATATATCATGATTGCTTGTTACAAAGAATTTCCCATAAGAAATAAATTTTTTATCTTTAAATACTTCTCTTAAATGTTTGTTTCGTAAGTTTCTGCGTGTATATATTCAGAGTCTGAAAGTTGAGATAAGAAGGGACTATACAGCAGACGACACTGTTCCTGAACCAGACGACAGAAGCCTGGTTCCCATTTCTACCAATATACCTCATTCAATATCGGGAACCAACAGACTGGGTAATTTACGGGTGTCCAGAACGACTGTCCAGTTCTTACCAACGAAGGCGGGTAAAATGACCGAGGAAACACTTGAACTTACTAATTTGTCAAACGACACTTTCCGATGGATGTTCTCATCATTTGCATCACCATACCTTAAAAAGGTATGATATAAGTTTTCATTTATTCTGATATTATTATTTTCAATTTACTTTAATACATGTATTTCTTACTTTATACACACATATATCTTAAAATTTTGCAAAAATTGAACATGTGTAGTAATTTTAATGTAGATTGAAAAATCTCAAATTGATCACACAGTGCTTGTTTTACACTGAGGTTGTTTTTAGTGCATTTGTGTATTTCATTAAATTACATAAAATAATTCATTTTGAGGAGAAAAAAATCAAATGAGTTTTGCATGGATGAAGATATTCATATAAAAAGATATTATATATGTATGAATCATTAAAACACGGATGTCTAGTAAAATTGTAACATACTTTTATCTTGAACAGAGTGATGACAATAATAAAGAGGTTTTTAGAGTATCCTACAAAGTGTTTGATTTCTCAAGACAGTTTGGTAAACTAGCACCAGAAGGCACTGCACAGGTACAAACTTTTATTGCTAGTTAATTTACCTCAACTCACAGGTTCAGCATTTCTCAAACCGGTATCTTGCCTCATTGTTACAGGTTCAAGCTGCACAAGCGTCTGTGGATTCTACATGTGAGAAAGCTACCCAACTAGCTTACAAAACATTGATGGTTCTACTCAGGTGCTGGTTTGTGCATGAAATAATGTATAGAGGGGCACCTTACATCTTCCTCCACTAGTGAAGCTAAACAAGATGACCTATACTGTGTTGGTGTGATGTAAAACCCAACTAAATAGGTCCCTAAGACATAGAAGCAGGGTTGGAAATCAATGTTGAGCTACATTTGGAAGAATTATAAGAATATTTAAACAAAATTTGTAACTTATGTCTATTACTAGCATAGGAAAGTATAGGCTGTGCAGCCAAACATATAGAAAAACTTCAACTTAAAAAAAAAATTTTTTTAAATTCAATGTCAGTGTAATATTTTGCCCTTCAATTTTCAGTTGACACTAAAGTTTATGCCAAGATCAACTGGCACATTTTCACAATACTGGGATCTACAAACCAGTGGTCACTCTAAGAGTGACACTTCATCTTCCCATCAAGATTATATACGTATTCATCTGACAGGAGAGGTAAACTTTATACACTTTATTTTCAGTTAACGTACTAAGTTAACCTTTCACCAAGTGCCAGATAGAGATCTTACATTTACTTACTGTCTGGCATTTGTTTTATGTCTTTGATACCACTAGATCAGTGTCCTATATAACTTTTTGCCTGGATGTTCCTTGCGCAAAGACCTGTTATTGATGTAATTGTTCCATTATATGATGACCTTTGGTTGTCATGGTATCAGAAAGGGGGAACTTTAATTCTTAACCTGCTTAATTTGTGTAACGGATTTTCCCTGCTTAAAATTTGGAACAGGCTAAATTCAGTTTTAAGGGATTTTAATAACAAAATATAATATTCAAGTTTCCAACATTATAGGGCCCGGTCAGACTGTAGGGATGTGCACACTGCTTCAAGACAAAGGTTTATGGCGATAAAGAATATTCTATAAATGAAAAGAAATTCTTAGAGATAAGATACATGGCATCATCTTTTGGACGTCTAAAAAGATTATGACCAGCTTGAAAAAAAGCCCAGCTTTGGGTCGCTTATTTTGTTGTCTTATGTATGAAAAAGTTAAAAAAAATTATATGAATTTATAAGGCCTTTAATTTACATATTTAATGTTGTTCAAATCAACAAAGGTCTTTAGCTAGAAGTAAAAGTTCAAAGTTGCCCACCTTAACAACAAAGTTTGTGTGACTTTTAGTCAAACCATAGAAAATGATATTTTGAATGAATGTAAATATTTTTCAGGGTATGGAAGACATGGATGCCAGCAGTAAAAGTAAACCTTCTAGCATTGATGTAGAGAACTTGCTACCTAAGTAAGTTAATCTTATACTTCGGTTGAGCATGCAACAAAAATTTAACTTTTTTCCGCTATAGTTTAACTGTCTGAAGTTCTCTTTGATTTTGTTTTACTTTCAAGGACAGATATGCATTATCTTATTCATAGTGTAAGGCTATGGTCCTTTGATTGATTACTAGTTATTTATAAGTTTATTGTTTCTATGAATGTGTTGTGTAGCAACATGTAATGGAACAATAAATGGTGTAATTGAATTGTATTTGAAAAAGCGATTATATTAGTATGGCAAGTATTACTCTTATTTCAGACTTGTTGGTGAAAATACAAGGTTAAGATTACCCCAGGATGTGTTAGAGTTTCCAACACTCAAATGTGGAGAGTCGGTCATCATGAAAACTGACATGAAAAACAGCCATCATGAAGAAGTTCAGGTATTGAATTATGATGTGATTTGTAATATTTTGAAGTTTTGAATTGTTAATGTTCATTTTTGTTAAAAGGCCCATTATTTCTAAGAAATGCTTTTATTTTTACTTCTCAAAAGCTTTTTAATGTTGGTGTACTTTTATAGTATCCAAAAAGTTACTCATTGACCAATTACCTGAACCATCTTCTTCGTCTGTTACTTTTTGGCAGTACGCACAGTTATAGTGAATAAGTATATTGTATTGAATCAAAATACTACTTTGTTTACATTTTGCTACTTTTATGACATATTATTTCATAATTATTGTTAATTTCCTCGGGAAACAACTTACAAGTATCAAACATTCTCTAATTCATTATTTAAACATTATAAAATTCATGTTTGCCCTATAAAAAGAAGTAAAAATTCATCTGTTTCTGAGGCATAATGTGCCTTTAATGAATATTTAGGTAAATATAGGTTAATATATATATATATGATGATATTTGCCTTCTTTATCTTTCAGGTTGAAGTAACCACACCAAAGCCACCATTTTATGTGAAGCATCCAAGGTTCAAAGTGGCGTAAGTTTATTATCTTGTTTCTTTATTGCCGTAGATTATAATCCTTTGGGGTCATTAAATTATATCATGTGAGGAAGTTATTTCCCTTGTGGTGGTTGATGGGTCTATACATGCTGCATGTCAGTTTCTGTAATATACATGTATGATTATTTGATGATAATAAGGATTAAGATGTCCTTATATTGAGTAACTTTTAAAAAAACATGAAATAAAAAACACTTTATAGCTATTTATCTAGCTTAATTGTACTTAAAAACATGAATTTGCATCACAAGTGAGAAACTGTCTTAATTCTTGAATTAGACCTAGATAACTCTCAACACATCTTTGTAGGGTATTAGAGCTAGACAAGTGTAGACCACTCCTTGTCAACACATCTTTGTAGGGTATTAGACCTAGACAAGTGTAGACCACTCCTTGTCAACACATCTTTGTAGGGTATTAGACCTAGACAACTCTCAACACATCTTTGTAGGGTATTAGACCTAGACAACTCTCAACACATCTTTGTAGGGTATTAGACCTAGACAACTCTCAACACATCTTTGTAGGGTATTAGACCTAGACAAGTGTAGACCACTCCTTGTCAACAAATGAACAATCAGAAATGTTTGTTATGTTGACTAGAATTGCCCTCTGGTTAAAGGGCAAGCTTACCTTATTGACTAGAAAATTAGGTCAAAAAATTAATTATTGATACATATCTGGAAGAAACAATAAAACCATTTGTGTGTTATGGTTGTTTGATTATTTCTGATGTTTATATATTTGCAGAAAGAAGAGGTTCATTAAGTTGCCAGTAGAATTTCGACCATCTAGAAGCGGTCGATTTACCGATGTGATTAAATTTCAGAGTTCCAAGGGAGATAACTTAGTGCTACAGGTTAAAGGGAGTTGTCACTGATTACGCAAAAAAAAGTTATTTGATAATTGATATACATACAGTCTCTAATGAAAATGAAATGTTTGGGAAAACTTGACTTGATTGAATCATGAAACTTAGTGCATTTACAATAGCATGTAACTGTTAATAAAGGAAAAATTTTGATGAGCAGAACCATTTGTAATTGACATTTGAATATTTTGAAAGTGAAATGAAAGGAGGTAAAAATAAACAATAAGTTATTTACAGGGAGAATGAAAGAAGTTGTTGCAACAATCAGATCTGATGTTGTGTTGTTATAGCAACAGTCAGTGAACAGATATTTTGTAAGAATGTGAATGTTAACTAGCTGAACATTAAAACAGGAATAATGTATGAAAATAATAGTGACGAGACGATAAAAGTGATCTCAAATTTATGATGGTTTAAAACGAGGTTATTTGTGGTACGACGAGTTTTAAGTTTAGGTTATATTTGAATGTAGGAATAGGTCTGTGATATATTCCCCTTGTGATAGACAGGTAAACTAAATTTATATAAATGTTAACCTAATTAGAATATATATTAAATTTCTGTCTCAATTGTGTACAATGTGTAACATGTACAAGTATTTGTTGTTATTAGTGAACCATATTTTTGTCATGTTAAAACTGAATTTTCAACAAAAATTAGGTGAAAAATAACAGGAATCTTAATTGTTTTCATGGAATAATTTTAATTTGATTGAAATGGTAAAATTGGTGTTCATGATTGGTGAAATTTAGATATTTATAAACATGTATATGGAAATAGATTATTGTTTTTCTGCAGAAGTTACCTCTCTGGCGTGGGTTCGATCCCCAGGAGATGCTTTGGTAGTTTAGCGCGGAGGAAGGTAGTCTAGTACTGGTGTAACTCTCCAGGAACGATGGTTAGGAAACTACCCGCCTATATGACTGAAATACTGTTGGAAAAAGGCGTAAAATGAAACAAACAAACAAACAAAACTGCAGAAGTTTTTCAAATAACATTTTTTGCGGGAGGGAGTAAGGAGTGAGAAAAAGAAGAGATATTACAAGGTTTCTGTACAAATGGTTGTAACAGGCATGTAGTTAGTAAGATACAAATTGTTCCTTCAAAGTTCCAGAAATTCATGTTAAACATTCAGTGATGTGACCCACTTTTTTCTGCCTTCATTTCTAGCAGAGTAATTGTGTAACCATTTGTTGTAAATTCATCTTAACCCGTTTCTCTAACATTTTCATGCAAAACAGTTTTTTAAAGTTGAATCAAAATGTAAAGCAGTATTGTAATTTATTGGTGCTAGTAATATTGATTTAAACCCTGAAGGTATTCCATGTGTTATAATTGGTTTTCATTTTAAAATGATATGTGAGTGGTGATCAGATGGACAAACTGTTTGATTTTGATAAACACAGAAATTGTAATAATTTCATAAAGTAACATTTAAAAGAATTAAAACAATTTAGTATTGATTAATCATAATTTTTTGTAATTTAATGAAATAAATGGCATGGGAACCTGTGTGTTGGATATTTGTGATAAAAACTTGTCTTCTGCTAATGTTCATGTATTTTGATATTTCATCAAGTGATTTACCCTTCAAATGCTTTTCTAGCAGTCATGAATTTGAAATAAAATATTTTGTATATAACATGGAAATAGTAATTTTGCTAAAAAAATCTGATGAAGTTAGTCTTAAATTACTGTTAGATTTTAGTTGATCTTTTATTGAAAATTATATCAAGAAAAGATAAGTTAATTTTAGTAACCCTATCACTGCATGAAATTCTGCTATGATGGTGCTGAGATGTATATAAAACTTGTGAATGAGTTGCCATGGAAACACATATACCAGAAATCTGTGTTTCTAAAACATGGTGTTACTCTAAACGTGCCTAGAATCTCAATATAAACATTTCATCAACCTGATATTTTTGTACCAGCCTGCATTTACTCGTGTACATTTTGTATTTATTTGATTGTTTCCATTATATTTGTAAGATAATTGTCTTCAAATTATTTTCAGTAATTATCATATGTATTATATAGTTTCTATTTTCATGTCAATGTCATATATTCAAAAGTCTTGTCGTTTTATTACAATAGTTAAAAAATGTATCGTTGATTTAGATTAATTGTTGTCGAAGTGTAATATAACAATACAACATAATGTTGCTGGTTATTTAAACTACTAATTCATTAACATGTCAGGGGTTTGCTGTTGTAATAAAATATTTTTGTACTTTAAAATTTACCTGTATAATCCATCTAATGTAATATATTTATATTAAAATGAAAGTTTTGTTAAACAGCTGTGTTTGTTTGTTTTTTTCTCCCGAGGTATTTACACTATGTTGTTAATATTACAAGGTTTTACTACTGTAAGACACTGATTGTGTCCTCATGGTCACTTGCCTTTACAGAATGCCTTTAAAAGATACAGAGTGCAAGAAAAAAAAGTTGTCTTACACCATTATTGATGATGTTTGATACCTTAATATGAGATATTTCTGGACGAAAGGAATGACTTATCTTTTGTACAAATACTTGTTTTAAGACTTCCTTTAATTGAAACTATACAGGAATTCATTCATCTCTATGTGTTGATGTACACTGGGCGTAAGTAATAAATTTTTCAACACAGTTCTTTCAAAATATGATTTTATTATTGAGTAAATATACATTCAATGAAATCCATCTTTACTGATGGAGAGTTGAGGTAGATATTGAAGTAATCATAAAAATAATAAAAGCAGGTACACATATTAATCTCAAGGAAACTTAAAAATATGTGGAGGCTACTGCAAGAAAAAATCAAATTTCCAATAACTACAATTGCTGTACTGCAATAACAGAATTGTCAAATAACTCCATTTAGGTGAATGCATTTACAATGTATTTTATAGATGACTATCTGAGAAATAGAATTCTGACTAGGAATGTGAATAAAGAACCCTATGCTTTATGTAAAGATAAGAATTATTTTAAAGTTTAGACAAGCCATTTATGTGTATAGAGAAACAATATTGTCAAAGACAGAAATGACTAAATATTTCCCAGGCTATTTAGAAATTCCAAAGTGATAGATCATAACACATTATAAATCTCTGGCAATATTAAGACTTGTTCAAATACAAAACTGGACAGACAGCTTTTTTCCCTTTCTTGAACTGCATTTGCTTTCTATAATTAGAAGGTTTAAATATATGTTAAATCTATCAATATAGTATACAAAATTTAAGGGCTTATAGACTTCATAGAATTTTACAGTAATCAGTTACACTTTTACAATTATTTCAAATAATAATAAAAAGTTTAAAACGGATTAATGATCAATACACATTCTTGATTCAGTCAAGTCAGAGAGGTATAATAAGATATGTAATACGGTATACATGTATAGAGTAAGAACCTAGTTGTAGCTACAGGCAGTTCATAATACAGCTGTCTATTTCTCATTGGTCATTTACAGGTCATATAAGACGTATCTTTGGCTAGTGAGTATATGTAAGTTGGTCACATAGGTAGTTCATACATGGCCAATTCTTCCTGCCTCACACTTGGCTTCTGTGCTGACAGAGACTTCATCACATCATCCTACGATTATAAATTAAAATATAAAAGTTATAAAGATGATTTTAACAGATCTGCTGATGTCATTGTCTACAAAATAGTCACGATCATACATACATTTTATCTGGATTATTTCATGCATCACAAATCCTTTCACTTGAGAAATCTCATGTTTGCTCTATAGAGGTGCCCTCTTGTACCTTTATCTTAATTAATGCACAAATTGAAACCTATCTTATAGTCTTCTATCTCCATTCAAGCTTGAAAGACGTCGCATCTCCTTGTTATACATATTGAATGAGTCATGTACCATATACATTTTCACACATGGCAGTTAGATTAAACAAAAAGAAAATATCAATGGACAAACATAATCAAAACGCGGCTTTGCGTTTTTCACAATGAAACTTTTTGTAAAATAATAAGCTCACCATTGTTACTACTGGAGATGCAAGCATATTAGGGTCTGATATCCGAGTCCAGTCCATCTGTATAGCGCCGGGGTCATCCTGGTCACATGGTGTTAAAAGGTCATCTCTCGTTTTATTTGGGCCTTCTCCAGATGGCCCACAAACCTTTTAAACAAAGATTGTGTTTAAAATATAATTTTATCAGTAAAATCAACATGGCCTAGATATCATAATTATCAACAAGAAACATATAAATGATAGAATGTCAACACTTGCTACAGGGAAATCTATGAAAACCAATCATTTTTCCCATGAACACTTGTCGATTGGAATAAATTGAGAGATATTTCACTTGCACTTACTCCTCTCCCCCGTTGCTTATATGCTAAAAGGCCCTGAAATGTACCATCAAGATCCAGACCATGTTTTGTGTGTTAACAAAAATATTTTCCATTTTCATGTTGAAAACTTGCCGACTTGAAATAAAACTTATCTTTTTTTTTTACTCAGATGCTTAGAAAGTTTATTTTAACAATCATAACAAAAGTCAGAGATTTGATAATTACCCATTCATTTGTTCAGAAGAAGACTTTAAAAGATTATATATTTTCGATCCCAAGACAACACTTTTAGAAACGTAAAAACCGGCGTATTTAAGCAAACCTGATAAAAGATCATTTAAGTATTTTGGTGATGAGCCAATTATGCGTAATGGGAAATTGTTTAAACAGTTTTTTAACCCTTGTGACCCATGAAATATGCATGTATTAAAATTATGATCTGATATAACATGAGCAAACTATATTTAGAACACACATGACTGCTGTATACAGCATATTGAAGGTGATTCTGATCAATATATCGAGACAAATAGACGCTTGTTGACAACGGACGCCGAAATATTTATATATTCACACAAAAATAGCTAATCTTGGACTTTTGGGTGTAATCAATTGTTTATTATATAAAAATGTATAAAATATACAAACCTGTTTAAAATGTGTGGCAGCTTGTACTTTTCGGACTGGTTGTAAAAGTGAATCCCTTGCCACGGAGCAAATATCAGCCCCAGTCATTCCAACAGACATTTCCCCGAACTTTCTGAAATATTAATATACGATCACACGTTTATTTATAGAACGATAATTTCTTGCAGATAGAAGCACATAATCATAGTAATCATAATTACCCAATATTGTGAAACGTCCTTTAGACAGAAATATTCAAGTGAATCAAGAGGAAACTAGAAAGGTGTCCATAGGACACGGATGCCCCCACACGCCACTGTTCTGTCAATCTTATGACTCTAGGTCAAATATTTTTTGGACTACATGTGCCACAAGTTGAAAACTAAAAATCAACAAAGGGCCATAATTCTGTTAAATTTGGTCGCAGCAAAAATTCCTTCCTTTACTACCATCTACACATTAAGGTTGTTAATCCCTGGACGTTTAAGCAAAATCTGCCATCCGGTTTAAGAGGAGTTGCGTTCAAAAAATTTCTACATATCATATAGTGAAAAAATCAACAAAGGGCCACAATTCTGTTAAATTTGGTCGCAGAAAAAAATTCCTTCCTTTACTATCATCTACACATTAAGGTTGTTCATCCCTGGAAGTTTAAGCAAAATCTGCCCTCCAGTTTAACAGGAGTTGCGTTCACAAAATTTCTACATAGTATATAGTGAAAAAATCAAAAAAGGGCCATAATTCTGTTAAATTTGGTCGCAGCAAAAATTCCTTCCTTTACTACCATCTACACATTAAGGTTGTTCATCCCTGTAAGTTTAAGCAAAATCTGCCATGAGTTGCGTTCACAAGATTTCGGGACGGACGGACGGACGGACAAGTGCAACGCTATATGCTCCCACATTGTGGGGGCATAAATATATAACTGCTATTCATTGAACATAGAGTAACAGAAATTATGCTCAACCAAATGTAACTAGGGTATTTAACATCAAAATAATATTCAACATATCTATGTACTTTAATCAAACCAGGATGAGTTTGTAACTGGATTGTAACCTTTTATTTTACAATACTCCAACACAAAGTTTCCTGGACCATGCAGATAGTTCCTAAATTATGTGATTTGCATACGAGACATGTATCCATAACACAGTATCCTATTAAACCAGACTTAAAAAGAAAATAGGCAAATAAGGTCATCCATGCAAGTAAAATGCAACCTTACAATTACAGAGTGTGAACAGTTCAGCAGTATACATATGCTTACTTTTTTGCCCATATTTTAGAGGATATAAACAAATGACAGACATATTTTTATAAAGTGAAAAAATTGCATGTTTTCACTTTACATATCTCTAAACCAAGAAGTAAGTTGTAATACCGGATATCTTCCTCTTGTAGAGAATGTTGGGCTGAATCAAGCTGTTTCTTAAATATTGCACATCTTTCAACATTGTTTGGTAGTGGCGTTGGAATACGAATGTCAAATATTTGTAATAAAAGTTTGTCTTCAGCTATCTTCCACGGTTTATTTGAAAGCCCAACAAGACAAAAGCCTGAAACCCAAAACAGCTTCGATTTATATTGCTATGCCTCATATAATTATTATGTTAATAAATACATAAGAGCACATGTCATTTCACTGAATAAATGATAAATGTAGATGAATATATTTGTTATAAAAATATGTTAAGGCAATCATATTTTTATTTAAGTACATGTACTAGTACCAGTGAAGTTGTTAATTTCATACTAGCAATTTTATTACTTGTAATATATGTTTTTTTCAGTTATATAAAAAACAATTATCATGGTATATCAATCAGAATATTCTAAGAATTAAAAATACAATTTGAATTATCGTGGTACATCGTTTACATTACGATGGCTTATTCAGTATTGTTCGTTTTTTTTTAATACAAAATCAGCCACAAAAACGCCGTGTTCACAAAGTTATATTTACAAATACCCCAGTACAAACATATAATGTCTTCAACATAAATGTGACAAAAAATTGTTTACTTTTAGAAGTTTTAGGATTAGCACTGTGCAGCTGCGTGTCCATCTCTTTTTTCAGATTCAAACACAGCTCCGTTGACTCGCATAAAGCATCTACATCGTCAATAAACACCACACTATGTTCCTGATTCTTTGCTGTCTCCATCATTGTTTTAAATATTCTACAAACAAAATCTTAAAACAGTTAACGTGAGGTATGTGAAACAACAATCTTAAAGCTGCATTAAACAAATATGTAAAAACATTTTGCCGTCAGCCTAAAAACCACTCATTCTACAGTTTCATTAACCTTTTTAACAATATTGTTGTAAATCTCATAAAATTGTGTCCATAAATTACGATTTTAAACTGAAAACCCCACGGTAACACTAAAATTCGTCTACGAATTTTAACATGCACATGAGGACTATAATCAGTTGGCGTATGCGCTACTTCACTGTGTTATACATGTAGTTGCTGTCCGGTACACAGCAAGTCTAGAAAGTAGTTCTTTTAAATTTTAAAAGTGGCCCAATTTAAGTCATCTCTAGTTAGGTTGGTCATAATTGAAGTGCATTTATTGCATGTGTGTAGTTTTTGTGTGTTATATGGTGACTTTAAAAGTTGTTTTTTGTCTATTCTACAGGAACTCATTTGTTGGCAGAAGGATTAAAGATGTACTACCCACCAGCAGTCAGGAGTTTTTTTTTAAGTGGTGAATTTAAACAGTGTTACAACAGAATGAAGATTTCTGAAAAAAAAAGTATATGGCTAACCTATTATATTTTGGGCCTCATTGGACTTAGATAGTGTTAATGTTTAAAGCTGAAGACAGTATATAATTCATCCAGAATAGTGAAATCCAGAATATAGCCTCAAATGTGACTGATTTACTACAGAACAGTACTGTAGAACAAAGAATGCGAAAATTCACCGGGAGGAGTCCGTACATGTATGTGATTTTCTTGTGCAACGTTTGCAAACACACTTTAACCGTTTAAGCTTCCTCACGTTCAGAAAAAAGGATCATCTTATAAAAAAGATTAAATGTGTATGAAAACATCCGTTACAATGCGGAAATATACCGTTAAATTAGGACTGCTACTAATAGCCATGTTTGTTGATTTAATATTGATGTCTGGATGATTCGAAGGCGGAGTTCCTCATGCAAACAGAAATTTTACTTATATAGTAACATAGGTTTCAAGTAAGTTTTGTGTGTGTTCGAATCCCGCACTCAACACTGATTTTTTTCTGTATGAGGAATCTATAAACTAGGTTATAGAATGTCGCTTGTCCTAGTCTGATCGAGTTCAGCCACATTGTCAAATTCCCAGTCAGGAAATCCACGCATAATGTTCTGGTATTTGAATAATATAATTTCACAAATTACATCTAACGTTACATTGCGTATGCAAATAACGTAAAAACTGATACATAGAGGATATTGAATGAGTGTAAGTTCAATACTGAATTTATTGCACGAGTTGAATAAAATTATATTATGCGAGCCTCTGGCGAGCATAATATTATTTTATTCAACGAGTGCAATAAATTCAGTAATGAACTTACACGAATTTAATATTCTATTTATCACATACCCAAAATAAAGACCGTTTAAAGTGAAATAAGTCATTTTTCATTGACGCGTCTATAGTATAACGCTAACATTTAGAGCGTCTTTACACTATGTTTGTTTAACGCTAATGACGTCACGTCAAAATATATGCACGGCCGTGCAATACCATATTTACGGAGTCGCAAAATCGGCACGGGTGTGTGATAATATGAATTATTAAATGTATTTACCTTAACGGATTTTTAAGCCATCTAGATAACAGATCATAAGCTGATAATTTATAACATAAAAAGTTGCTGCATGTCGTGAAAAGTTCATTAATTGTCGCCTGAACCAAGAGAGTCCTTCCGCTACCTGGAGGCTGAGAAAATACAACAAAAAAAACCCACATTAAAATGTTCAAACCGAAGGCGGGTTTTAACATGATCAGTTTGATATTTATGCAGTTAAACAGACTAAATAACAAATTTTATTCCTTGGTAAATGAAATTTTAATGAATAAAAGTATGTCACTGTAACAGTATCAAATTATCAGATCAGTAAACAACTTAAATTATTTGTTCAAGGGTACTGTTGATTTTAACAGATTGCAAAACAAGTAAGAAGAGTGTTATTTTAAGTAGAAGAAACATAAATACCCCGTAAATCAGCAATCCTACACAGGATGGTCTATTAGTACCTGGAGAAGAAAAAGAGATTCTTTATCTCATAAAATAACAGACACATTTATTGTCATTCAAACAATAGTATATTTAAATGTTAGTTCACGTCGGATTGATTCTGCAAGAGCATCTTATCAAATTGCTTCAATGACGTAAAATTATAAGAAAATTTGATCACATCTTTATGACAAATATTCTATGGAACATATAATACCTTCAAAGAGTTTTGGAAACTTGACAGGTAAAACAAGAAACTCTTTTATCTTTTCACTAGCCGCTTTAATTCCAACAACATCTTCCCATGTTATACCAGGTTCTACATGTACTTCAGCTCCTATAAAACACGTGAAAAATAAATGTACATGTTATTCAAAATCTAATGGACACAACGTATATTATTAAATAGTGCGTTAAATAAAATTTAAAAGACCTTGGTTTAAAAGAGTAGGCAACCCACACTTTACGCGCAGTTTGACAGAATGCTCTAACACGTAAACATGTGTTTAATATGGAAAAATTCCTCATACATGTGCTTAATATGGAAACATTTCTCATTTCATGGAATACTATGCACTATATTTTTTTAATGGACGGGCCTCTATATTCTATATAGTTCTTAATCTGTCAAAATATATAAAGGAATCATTAAATTGCAGAAATTCCATAATTAATTCTATCAGTTAATTATTTACATGCTAAAATGTTTATCCTCAACAACACGTGTGTACGATCTATTTTATATGATTTCAAATCACATTTTAAACAGTGGCATAAATGTTTACGTGACATTGTATACAAAGTGTATTATTAATGTATTACAAGTTTGTACAGTTATACTACTAAATATATGTATTGATTATATTGATATAAAAGTAATAAGAATATCACAATTGAGATCACCCTGTAAAATTTAAGACCATTTTGGTCGAGTCCAGATGGAGGTCTTAAATGAGGGTTTTTACTGTATATGTAATTGCAATATTAGCGACTTATATAAAAGTTGCGCGAAAAAAATGACTTAATCAGCCATCAACTTAAAAAAATTAACGAAAACTTAATGTTAATGAAAGGTGTTTTTTTTCTAAATCATTTATTCAAGTGTAAATATTATAATTATTAATCATAAATAAAATTAATCATTTACTTGTAAGAAAATCCTTGATCTCGTTCTCGTCTTCACTTGTTCCGCTAAAAAAAGAAAGATATTTATTGAAATGTGCAAAAAGAATGTCAGCCAGTTAAGCCAGATATCATACTTTCTACAGGATAAAATAAATCAATTTAATCAATTTAATGATCATAAATGGTTTAGAAATTCAACGCACTTAACGCAAATCTGAACATTGTTAAAACAGCAATATAATAATGGTAATGTATACCTATTCATATAAAACGCGGCACTTGTTTTGTTGTTGTGTTATTGTTTTTAAAGAAAACATAACAATTGTACATACCTTTCCGACTGGTCCATGATTACTTTCCGCAGTGTATATAGTGTGTGTGTTCGGATTATGTACAGTGATTGCTTTTTTCTATTAACAGGAGTATGTCGATTTTATACATTTTTTTTGCGTTAAAATCCTTTACAAAATCACAATAGCAATACGTGTAGCTCCAATATGTAACGTAAGAAATTTCTCCTAACAATACTTCTTAACAGATTGGGAATTAACAGATTATTTTCATGATATTTCGTGAATCATATTCACGCTTAACTTAGCAGTTACCACTACCATGAATGTGCGCTTCTACAACTGATAAGTATGTGATAGTCTTACAGGTACAACATGTACACATGCAAACAAATAATAACAATAGAATAAACGACAGTATGAAAACGTATTATATTATATATTAATTAGGAATATTAACGTATGTATATTCGGACAACAGTCACATGATTACGAGCATATGATATCATACAAATATGACGAGCATATGATATTATATGATATTACAAATAGATATTTTTAGATACATTTACATGATTTTGAATCAATCGGAACGTCCTCGGCTATTATCTATAATAACCTCGGAGTAAGTAGTTTCAGTTGCAAACAGAAACAGAGAGTGTAATCTTCGATAATGTAAAACGAATGTATATATTTAACATCCAAAGGAAAATTAAGGCATTTTCGGTACAAATATCATTGAAAATACCTCTGGCAACCGTTTTTAATTTAAATATGCCAACTTTAAACAAATCCGACTAAATGTCAACAGATTAATTGGCATTTTGTACTGTCGGTTTCTACAACCATAATAGTAAATATATAAATAATGTATTGTTTGCTTTTGTATCTATGAATTCACTTAGTCTTGGATGACTTTTACTTTATATATTGGAAATAAACTTGTCAACAACTCCCAGTATTAAATTGCTATTTGTTTACATGTTTATATAGTTTCTTAGCGCAGGTTAGACCGAAATACCGCATCCGTTCTGTGTATTAATACTATTGTGTTCAAGGTTCTTATTCGAAGACTGACGGATGGACCGAAAAGTTGTAATTGTGTTTAAATCATTTCTCTATTTCATATGTCAAAGTAAACGATAACTTGTATAACCGCACTATTTCCTCATACATTTCGAGTTTTCATTTTACACTATAAATATTTTGTATACATGTCAATCTTTAAAAAAAAATCCTCTCCAAACAGTATATGCATGAATATCTGTTGGTAAAGTGTTTCCAACACGAGCAAGTAATATTATATGATATTTTTTTTCATTTTAATTACTACACTGTACAAGTAAAATTCACACAGTATCATGGATTTACGTCAATGGTGTTCGAGGGCGTACGAGGTGTTTTTTTCAGTTGCCCCTCAAGAACAGGTTTTGTCTCATCTAAACAGAGACATAGATAACATCTATGTCTCTGATCTAAATCATCTAATGTCCTCGGCATTGATACTGATGGGTCGAATGCATGACATTCAGCACGTTGGAATATTTTTTCCTTTCAAAGTCTTAAATTTGTAATTCCTTTTGTATATTTAGTCTACAAAAATTCACATGTGTTTTTTCTATTTCAAATTATTTAAGTTACATTAATTAAGTAATTTTATGCAATAACCTGAGTTAGTCCTTCTATAGAGCTATATACATGTAGCACAGCCAGCTCTAAATATCTCACCGAAAATTTATGCATTTTTCATTGCATTTTAATTGTATGTATTTTACATGTATTCTTCAGATCTAAATGAGAAGCTCACAACAAAGGTACAGATATATCTAAGACTTCTAATTTTTGATACTGCATATTTTACATGTCTTTCCGCACCTAATTTCATATTAAATTAAATAATGACGTACTATATCTTGAAAGACGGAATATTAGTCTGTGCGGATTATATTGTGCTTTATTTACAATCAAATATAACATTGTACCTGAACCTTTTCTTTTTGATTTTTGTGAAAATGCAGTATATATTTTTTCTGTTACCAAAGAGGTATATAACATTTTTATCTTTTAAGAAATCATTAAATAAAAAGATTACATGACCAAAACTAGCAATTAATATATTCGTACAAGATACAAGAAAATTTATTTTACGTCGGATACATTTAAACAGGAAACACGCTATTTTCCGACAAACAATAGTATATGAACTAAACCAAAGTAAAGCAGCTACAAAAATATAAGCATAATCACATTTAAGAATTAAGATATTAAAGCAACTAAAAAATTATAAGCATAAGCACATCTAAATACATGGATTTAAGATATTATAGCACCATAGCATGCTTAAAAGTTACAATAATTACAAGCAAGATAAGCTCGTCATAACATAAAACAGAGTTTTTTTTTCTTTTTTAGTTTTTAGAAGTGATATCCCAAGGCCCAACTGCATGGGCATGTGAGAAAACAACAATATAACAAATGATAACAAAACAAAGTAAAATAAGTAAAATGATACATATTAAAATAAAACCATGGCAATGTTATTAACATAATTATGTACATAAGGAAACAAAAAAAAGAACAAAATAGAATAAAAATAATACAGGTACGAAATTTAACAATTTAGAATCGGAGTATGAGATCAAAATAAAAAAGAAATATCAATTTGTTTTGTATTATTAAGAACAAAGAAAATTTTCTTACAGAGTATTGCTAGATTGAGTTAAACATTTTTTTGCTTTCACTATGATTAACTTCGAAAATTTAATAATGTTTGGTCTATGAAAATATGAATTGTCTGAAAAAGCTTTTATAAGTTGCATTTTAGCCGTGTTCAACCTACTTAGCAATCGCGAATTAAATTGGGTACGAAATAATTGAAATTTCAAGATGGCGGAGTAAGTGAGATTTGATATGAACGTCACAATTAATCTTGAAAATATACCTCTTTTGAATTAAGAAGACAAATTATTTACAATTTTTAAATTGAATTATATGTTTCTCTTTATTAGTACTGTAAATGTTCATTTGTAGTGTAGAGCTTTGATAAATATTGATCATTTAAATATGCTCTTCAGGTTTCGCACCAAAACGACTCGCCCCACATTTAGTTAAACTTTACGACCCGCTTTTAGAAGTGTTTTTAGATAATTTAATTTGAAAAGTTTAAATATGAAAAATGCAATTAACCAATAAATGTTGAAGTTAGATAATCAAACTCAAAGTCAAGAGCGGGACACAGGTAAACGTTGCGTGGCCATGACTTACACTAAACCCCCGTTCCCCCTCTACAACCCAAAACCCTAAAAAAAAATTATAAAAAAAAATTTTTATGACTAAAATATTATAAAGGTATTTTACTCTACTTTCATTTTGCATAGAAATATCACTAGCATCTCAATTATCAGCGCATTTCATCAATTTTTCACCGATCTTAACAATCTTGGTCTCAAATCTTAGATAAATAAATACTCTTTAAGAAAACAACACTGGCACCTTCGCTGATTATACGTAGCAAGAAATATCCAAGCCCAAACTGTCAACAAATGAAACTCGGAAGAGATCTGATTGCACCGTTTCGGTAAAACTCTCACGAGTAAAACACACTAAATTCACCGTGAAAGAATATTTCTTTGTATTGCGTATTTAAATATGATAAAATTAAGTTATTATTTATAATAATTGTTCAATCAAAGCATCTTATGAAACTATAACGCACCTTTTTTCCTATATGTCAAATTGTAATTCCAAAATGAAAGTAAAATGGGCCTGCAGATTGTTTTCAAATGGAGTATTTTCATTGGTCACAGGAAAACCTCGGACCAATGAAAATACTTAAAGGGAAACAACTCTGCTGTGCCAATTTACTTTCATTTTGGATTGAGAATTTGACATATAGGAAAAAAGGTGTGTAATATCTAAATTAAAATCTGTTATAAATGCTTGTAAGAGATAAGAAAAAGGGGAGAAATTCAGTTGCCTATTTGGTCAATCATAATGTCTGATTATATGTTTATTATTTTTATTTCAGTTTACATGACAGAAAGATCAAAGATGCACAGATGCGTGCAACAATCAATCAAAAACTTGTTGAAACAGGCGAAAGAGAAAGGTAAAGTCTTTTCTAATTTATATTACACAGATTTTTTTTTATCTAGTATATTATTGTAATAATTGAAATTGTATTATTGATACATACAAATTGACTAATTCCCATAAGTTGTCTGGCAATTCATTATTGAAATAAATGTTGTTATCTTGGTCAACTGTCAAGCCTCTGAAGGATTTATATTTGTAATATAGACAAGACTCAATCTCTTTACTGTTTACAATCACAATGGGGTTACACACATTTGTTTATCTTTTGTATTGAGTGTGTTATTTACAGACAAGGATTTATTTCTCGACGCTATCACAAGTTAATAACCTTATAATGATATAAAGACTTGACTTGTTTTAATTGTTCAATGATTGAAAAAAAAATTAAGTTTTCTATTAGTTTCTCATGTTGACACTACCAACAATGCCATTTTCTATATCTTCTATTTATTTTAAAATAATACACAGAGCTTACAAGATATTCTGATGCTTCTGATCATAATCATTATTTAATCTTTTCAAGAAAAAAGAATGACAAACTAAGATTAATTATCACAAGTTTATGATGGATTTAATTTTATGTATAAACATATCACTCATTTAACACTTAATGTTTTAGGCTGAAGGAGTTATTGAGGACAAGACTTGTAGAGTGTGGCTGGAGAGACCAGTTAAAGCAATACTGTAAAGGTAACACTGATCTCACAATTTTATCAATTTTGCATCATCATTCATGCAATATTTATATACATTATTATAGTTGTTAGCAAACAGACTGGTTTAATACAACTTTCTCCAAGTCATACTAATTGAAGAATATTAGGGCTATCCTTAGTACTGACCTTGATTTGCAACTTTTTGTTCATCATCATATCTCATTAACCACTGTTGATATGTGCTTGTTACTCCACAATTATTAGATATCATAAATGGAGGTCACTATCCAAGACTCACAAATCTGGCATGAATTTTGACAGATTTATAGCCTGTTTTTAATTTAAAAAAAACTTACCTGGTTTAAGGTTTGCATGCAGCATCGTTCTATAAAAGTACTTAAGGTTTCCACAAAAGTACTTAAGGTTTCCACATGAAGCTTAAGACACTATCCAGGGCCCATAACTCTGACATGAACCAAGAATATTCATAAAGGGCGATTATTCAGTCTGGACATATACTTTTTAATGTCATCTTGTGGTGCACTTCAATGTCATTTTGTTAGATACTTTAAAGTCTTCTTGTCACATTTTTAATGCCCTTTTGTCACTTTCTTCTTAATGTCATCTGGTCACATATTAATAACATCTTGTACCATTCTTTAATGTCATCTTATCACATACTTTAATGTCATCATGTCACATATTTCTATGTTACCTGGTCACATACTTTAATGTCATCATGTGACATATTTCTATGTCATCTTGTCACATACTTTAATGTCATCATGTGACATATTTCTATGTCACCTTGTCCAAACTCTAATGTCATCATGTGACATATTTCTATGTCATCTTATCACATACTTTAATGTCATCTTGTCACATATTTCTATGTTATCTTGTCACATACTTAAATGTCATCGTGTCACATATTTCTATGTCATCTTGTCACATACTTTAATTTTATCATGTCACATATTTCTATGTCATCTTGTATCATAGTCCTTAATGTTATCTTTTCACATTTCTTTTAATGTCATCTTATCACATGCTTAAATGTCATCGTGTCACATATTTCTTTGTCATCTTGTCACATACTTTAATATCATCATGTCACATATTTCTATGTCATCTTGTCACATACTTTAATGTCATCATGTCACATATTTCTATGTCATCTTGTATGATAGTCCTTAATGTTATCTTTTCACATTTCTTTTAATGTCATCTTATCACATGCTTAAATGTCATCTTGTCACATATTTCTATGTCATCTTGTATGATAGTCCTTAATGTTATCTTTTCACATTTCTATTAATGTCATTTTGTCTCATACTTAAATGTTATCTAGTAAGGTACTTTCGATGTTGACTTTGGATACTTCTTGTTTCATCATTGTTTTGTTTTTTCATTTCAGAGGTAGTAAAACAAAAGGGTTTAGAGCATATTACAGTAGATGATCTTGTGGCTGAAATCACTCCAAAAGGCAGAGGTAATGTTTTTAACAAATACCTCAACATGTTATAGCATTTTTACTTTCAGATGTGATTGAAGCCTTTTTTTTAATATTTCATGACTAAAGTTTAAATTGCTACTACTCTTGGGAAAAAAAATGATAAAAATTATTAGATAAGTCTGCAGAAAGCAGATATAATTTCCTGTTCATTTTCATTTGTTTATCTTTTCTTATTATTTTTCAACATCAAGCCGTCTTCAGCAGGAAATTCTTTTACACAACATGTTTTCACACAACATGTTTTCACACACCACTATGTCAATTTTGACCAAATTTCACAGAAATATGAATCGTAGGTTAAAAATTATTTAAATCATTTTAGTGCGATGCATAAGTAGGTCACAGGATCCAAAGATAAGTACATGTATATAAGTAGTAAAAGTTTTTAAATCTTTAGAAAGAAATCTTATCACCAGCCCAGGGCTTAGATGTTATGAAGCATTGCCAAGAAGTAATACAAATCAAGTCAAAATGGTTAAAATTGGCACAGCTCTAAACTTTAAGTCACTGGCTGTATACCTTTTGGGTATAAATGTATCACATGAAGAGGTCACTGAGCTGGTATAAAATAAATGTTGTAAATAAATGTACCGATATGTTTCATTCATGATGCAAGCATAATTACTTATAGTCAATGTAACGTTGATGTAAATAAAATATACACTTCAAAAAAATAGATTGTTGAAAAAGTTTTTGTATATTATTAATGTATACTTGTATTATATTTTTAGCATGGCAAAATTTTGTGCTTCATGTAAAACTTCCCTTAGACGGGGGACATTGGTTACTCTGTTACAAATTCTTGTTAGTCCCCTACCGGTTTACCGGAGGAGACTTTAGGTTTACCCCGAGCAAACATTTGATTATTATGAGCTTCATTCTGTAGTAAAATAAAGAACAAAAACTCATAAAATTTAAATTAAGAGCTATTTTTTTGTTTTTATGAGCTTATTTTGCTTATGGACGTTGGTCCAGGTGGTGTTTATGAGCTGATTTGCCTTATAAACATCAAAAGTTGGTACGTCTGTCCGTCTGTCAGTCCGTCCGTCCACAAAACTGGATCCCGCAGTTAACACAAAAAGTACTGAAAATATTTTTATGAAACTTGATATATGGATAGATGGCAGTATGGAGATTATGCACGTCTTTTTCTTTTCTTCCTATGTTGAAAATTCTGGTTGCTATGGCAACAAATAGACTGAAAATATGGCAAATTTTACACATAACCTGGATCCCGCGATAACGCAAAAAGTACTGAAAATATTTTTATGAAACTTGATATATGGATAGATGGCAGTATGGAGATTATGCACGTCTTTTTCTTTTTTTCCTATGCTGAAAATTCTGGTTGCTATGGCAACAAATAGACTGAAAATATGGCAAATTTTACACATAACCTGGATCCAGTGATAACGCAAAAAGTACTGAAAATATTTTTATGAAACTTGACATATGGGTAGATGGCAGTATGGAAATTATGCACATCCTTTTCTTATCTTCCTATGTTGAAAATTCTGGTTGCTATGGCAACAAATAGACTGAATTTCAAGATTTCTGATTCTAGTTTTTAAGTTTTTTCACTATAAGTTCTTTATTTCTTAAGGTATTTTCTTCAAACTTTAAATATAAGTTGCTAGTCATCAACCACATCATATGTGACAAAGTTTACAACTCTAGCACAAAATTTATCAGAATTACCTCCCTTGAACTTAAAATTTTCATGAAAAAAATATATTTTTTTTAATAACTTCTTTTTTTTTTAATGTATCTACTTCAAACTTCATATATATGTTTCTTATTATCACTCAACATTTTTGAGAAAGTTCAATACTCTAGCAAGACTATTTCCAGAATTATGCCCCTTTTGAACTTAGACTTTTTTTTCGAGAAATTGGTAATTTTTACTCCAACTTCTTCAATCATGATAGGATTTTCTTCAAACTCCCACATCATAATAATATGACAAGGTTTATAAATCTAGCATCCATATTTCCAGAATTATCTCCTCCTTAAACTTTTAATTTTTCTTATTCGTTCTTTAACTTTCATTTACTTCAAATTCAAAATAAACATTCATTATTCATACCTTCATTACTAATTGTTCTTTGTTACACTCACATCATGTATGACATCTTGCATCTTTATTTCAAGAGTTATCTCCTTTTTAAAAATTTTGCTTTTAAAAATGTTACATTTTGATAACAGGGATGTTTAAAAAATAACTGTAGAGTGTCCTTCAGTCCGTCTGTCTGTACATAAAAACTGTTTCCTGTGATCACTTTTAAAGAACTTTTTCAACAAATTTACTTAAAATAGAAACATAAGTGAATTGCCAATTGCCCCTCAGAATGTTGCTTGGGTTCTAACCGGTAGGGGACTTATGGATTGCTTGCAATACTATGATAATTGCTTGTTATATTATAGCATTGGTACCGGACACAGTGAAGAAAGAATTGCTGCAGAGAATCAGGACATTCCTCGCTCAACAAAGCTGAAATCTGTGATATCATCATTTCTTATCATCACTATCATCAGATATTCATCAACCGCTTGATGTTTGTCAGTGACTTCTTAAAATATCTAATTTGTAAACTCCAGTATAGGAGCTGAAAAACAATAACAACAAACAAGCTTAACTGTGTACATTTTAAAAAAAACTTTGACAGGCACTTGTTGCCTTTTTGGTATTATCAGTGTAATTCTATTAAATACAATAGAACTTTAAATAATTTCTTAACATTTGTTTCTTTTCTTGTCCGTCTCTATAGTGTCTAAACGTTGAATGTTGTTTTTCTATTTAATTGATTATACAATTAATTAACTGTCATTGGTTTTCCAAATGGTTCATATGGCTATGTAAAGCAGAGAATAGCTGAAAAAATTCTTGCAAAAATAAGATATATAGGTTTATCACACACCCGTGCCGATTTTGCGACTCCGTAAATATGGTATTACACGGCTGTGCATATATTTTTAGCGTTATACAAACATAGTGTAAAGACGCACTAAATGTTAGTGTTACACTATAGGCGCGTCAATGAAAAATGACTCTTATTTCACTTTAAACGGTCTTCATTTTGGGTATGTGATAAATAGAATATTCAATTCGTTTAAGTTCATTACTGAATTTATTGCACTCGTTGGATAAAATAATATGCTTGTCAGAGGCTTGCATAATATAATTTTATTCAACTCGTGCAATAATTTCAGTATTGAACTTACACTCATTCAATATCCTCTATTTATTTATTATTGTTAAATATAATAAATTTTGTTGGATTTAATAACATTTAACTTAAGAAACATTCACAGTTTGGACATAATGGAGATTTCTTGATCTAGTTTACTTATTTTGATACAAAGGTATATTGGAACTAAACATTCTAATTTTCATATCATGTATTTGCCATAGACAGGACTACAGAAAATTGTAAGGATTTTTGCCCTAGGTTTGTTTTTTTAAGGCCATGGAATATTTTCAAGTGAATGTTTTATTTCTTTAAGATTACAAATGTTGTACAATTATGTCATCAATTCTTGTACATGTAATATAAAATCAAATACTCAGAAAATTTATTATGATTTGCTTTCTTAAAAAATATGAACAATTTTGATGCAATTTATCTTTCAAAGAAGAAAAATTGAAAATGAATGAAATGTCAATTATATAAATACTTCCCTTATTATCATGATTTATAAAATGTAAGAATTTTTATTAAATGTTTTATAAAAAAAAACAGATGTGTTTCTTTTATTTTCAGCTATGGGTGATAGTTTTTTACAAATCATTATGTTTGCACTAATTTATGTTGTTTTTTTACCGTAAAGAAATTAATGTTGCATTAAATATGTAATCTTTTACTTTAAGATCCTGTAACTCAATTATTAATGGTTTTATATCGTAAATTTAATGCTCAAATGAAGATTTATCAATATTGTATGTTCCAAAAAGCATTATTTGTAAATATTTTACCGAATTTACATTAATTCATGTTAACAAAGAGAGGTTGTTAGAAATTTATTTTCTATAAAGTCTAAGTCAATTTTTTCAATAAGAAATGACTGCATATATTTTTTACAAGTATTTGCAGTACATATTCTTTGATGTTTGAAAATTGTTTTAGAAGTATATTTATATACATATATAAAATTTCACTTAAGTGTGGTAACAACCTACATACAACATACAGGATCTTTAATAGACATGAAGATGCTGTTAAGAAATGGCAATGTAGTTTCCTTTATTGATTTGCTTCATAATGATAACTTTTGCTTTTCCTTTATTTATTTGCTTCATAATGATAAATTTTGCTAAGTTTATGTTGCTTCTGGCATAATAGCAGTAAAGTGTTCATTGCCGTTATAATACAGTAACTGAAGTTTAAGTATTAGTGTCCTAGGCTGAATACAGTGGAGGAATTACACTTTAATTTTCAAGTTATTAAGTTAATATTTAGGTATGACCTTGAACACAGCCATCCTTACTAGAAGATAAAAATTTAAAAAAAGATGTCAAACATACATCAATGTTATATTTGATGGTCGTCATGACTTATCTTTTACCAAGGAGCTAAATATAGATATATATATGCTTTTACATAGAAAAAGGTTTACAATCACCAACAAAACAAAAAACGAGGCGGGGGGAGTCTGCTTTTAAATCCAATTAACATAGTAATGGATTGTTAAGAATGTTAACATGAAACTGAAACTGTTTTATTTAATTAAATGCCTATTTCTATATACATATTCAATGGCGTTGTACAAAAGGATAATAAAAGTATATACATATAGATAAAAAAAAACACATATGCATGACAAATGAACTACAAAAAAATAAGTTAAAGATATCAGCCGTGTAAAATATAAAGTATTAAAAAATTAAAAAAAAGAATAGTTATAAAAAATAATAATAAAAAATAATTTAAAAGAAAATAAAAATTAATGGTTATTTCAGTAAAATTTTAAACACATTTCCACATCTCGATCAGTTTACAGCCAAATCACAAACTTAAAACAATGCGTAAAAATCTCTAAAATAGTAGGTTTTGACATTTTTCTTGAACATGTCCAAAGTCGAAGACTGTCTTATATACAGAGGCAATTTATTCCAGAGAGTTGGACCAACGGTACTAAAACTTCTGTCGTTAAATGTTTTCCTTTTGTTAAAGGGGACAGCAAAACAATAATCCATATTATAAACAGATCTGAGATTTGGTCTTTTTATGACAGGCTTGTGTAACAGCTCTGTTAGATAAACCGGAGCATTGCCCATAAAACAGTTATACATTGTACATAGTATTTTAAAATTGATTCTAGCTTTAATTGGTAACCAATGCAGTTCAAACAAAGAGTCTTTGGAACTATCATATTTTCCGAGTTGCAAAACAAGTTTAGCGCACATATTCTGGATACGCTGTAATTTCTGTAACTCAATTTCTGAAATGCAAAACAATATAGCGTTGCAATAATCCAAATGTGAGATTACAAGCGACAATACTAGGATTTTTGTGGCGTCCTGAGTCAGATATTTGCGAATGCTCTTTATTCTCAAATAATTTAACATGGCAGTTCTACACTTGGTCTTAACATGTGTTGAGAATCTTAGGCCCTCGTCTAAGTAGGCACCTAAGTATCTTATGACACTGACATTTTGAATTTTATCACCGGCGATACCAATTTCTTTAATTGAACATTTACCAAGTTGGGCTTTACTACCAAACATAATGAATTCTGTCTTAGTGGTGTTCATTTTGAGTTTATTGGCATTCATCCAGTCATTGATGATTACAGCACTGTCTTCAAGTTGCTTTATAGCGTTAAGTTCATTGGTCACTGAAGTTGGTCGAAAGCGTTGACTAGCAATGCGGTCATCAGCAAAGCCGTACACAGATATGGTTGGTGGTATCACATCAAATAGGGTTCCTGCATATGTGAGATAGAGCCACGGACCAAGACAGCTCCCCTGAGGTACACTGCATTCAAGCAATCGTGGAGTCGATTCAGTAGAATTAACACTGACGCGACAACTACGAGGTGGCAGGTACGAGTCCACCCATGCTAACACGGTACCATTGACACTGTACTGACTGTGTAACACGTCGAGTAGAATGTTGTGGTCAACGGTGTCGAAAGCTGCACTTAATTAGATCTATTGCAATTAGAGCTGTCACCTCTTGCTTTTCCATACCGTCTAGAAGATCATTGACAAGTCTGAGTAAAGCAGTCTCACATGAATGATGACGCCTGTATGCTGATTGATTTTTGGGTAACAAATTATGGGTATCGACATGGTTATTTAGTCTGAAGAGCGCAGCCTTTTCTATCAATTTTGAAAGAAACGATAAGTTACTGACAGGCCTGTAGTTTGACAATTGTAATTCTAAACCAGACTTCTTAAGAAGGGGTCTAACAATCGCCTGTTTCCAGTGTGTTGGAAATACGTCTTTAGACAGAGATAGATTGACCAGTTTGGTAATGGTTGGCAGAAGCTCATCAAGATATGACTTTAATATATGTGGGGGTATTAAGTCCAGCTCACACGATTTGGTATTTAGTTCACAAATAAGGCTCTTCACCTGTGTTTCTGTAAGATGCTCGAAATTTTCTAAAGGTTGAACTTGTTTGACATTTGGAATGAAGCTTGGAAAATCCTGAAGTGATTTACGAATTTTAGCTATTTTGTCCATGAAAAAGTCTGCAAACTTCTCAGCTAGCTCACTGTCATTTGTAGACTGTGGCATAGGATTTTCAGCTTTAGTACCAGTTAATTCCGAAATTATACCATAGAGTTTTTTTGAATCACCTTTGGCATTTAGAATTTTCTCACTCATTACTAGTTTTTTTCTCAGAATCAATTTCTTTACAGTATCTATTCCGTGCTTCTTTAAATTTCTTGAACTGTTCTGGCTCTTTGTACTTTCTCCAAATTCTCTCTTTTTTCCGGACAATACGCTTAGATTCCAATATTGAACCAAGGTTTTTGAGTTCTGCATATCCTAGTTTGTTCCTTTGTTGGAGCATGTTTGTCGATAACAGATTGGATTTCTGATTCAAACAAGTTTACAAAAGTATTGACATCTTCACTATCAACTGAAATCTTCGTCAAATCATCAGAGAATTCAGAATGGGATATGCTTTTCCAGTTTCTAAATTGTACAGTTTTACTGGCAATGTTTTCTTTCTCACATTAATGACTACGTGGAAAGCACAGTGATCGGAGGGAAAAGGTCCTTGTTCACATTTAAGTACACATACACCATTAATCGATTCAGTGATTACCAAGTCTAAACAGTTGCCAGCAGTGTGTGTACTAAAGTTGACATGTTGCTCTAAACCCATAGCATGAAGGCAATTTTGAAAGTTTGTAGATGCACCACTACCATTGTCAAGGTGAAGGTTGAAGTCTCCCATAATCAACAAGTTAGAGTATGTAGGTATTAAAGATATCTTCTATGAAATTTGAAGTCAGTTACAAATTGCTCACATGTGGCTAGGGATGGGGGTCTGTATAAACCAACTATGTGTACTGTTATACTTTTGAAAATGAGTTTCCCTATGCCAAACTCAAATCTTTGTTTGGTCCAATGTTCCATCTTTCTCATTTTAATTTCGGTTTTACAAGTCAAAGCAACACCGCCACCAATTTTGTTCTTGCGGTTTGCAACACTGATTTTGTAACCGTGTTGATTGAGATCAGAACATGTGTCAGATATGGTCATTTATCACACACCCGTGCCGATTTTGCGACTCCGTAAATATGGTATTGCACGGCTGTGCATATATTTTGATGTGACGTCATTAGCGTTATACAAACATAGCGTAAAGACACGCTAAATTTTAGCGTTATACTATAGGCGCGTCATTGAAAAATGTCTTATTTCACTTAATTTAAGCTGTCTTTAATTTAGGTATAGAAACAGAATATTAAATTCGTGTAAGTTCATTACTGAAATTATTGAACTCGTTGAATAAAATAATATTATACTCGCCAGAGGCTCGCATAATATAATTTTATTCAACTAATGCAATAAATTCAGTATTGAACTTACACTAATTTAATATAATATTCTCTATTTTTCATATATCCACGATCATTTATGGCCTTGACTTTTAATGATGTTTAAGACAGACGTTTTTTTAAATGAAGAAACATAGATAATTGCATGTGTATAATTTTAAACAACTATAAATGTTTCTTAATTATCTTAATTACTAAGGGTAGAATTAAATAAGGCAAAGACCAGTTGTGTCGTATTCTTTTTGGTTTTAGTGATCTCCCTTTTCCCGCTAAACTGTCACACCATGAATTAACGTATTTTGTCAACAAAAAAGGCAATTTACTATAATGATTATAGAACAACATTCATTTTTGGTCAGTTTATGTTATATCTGAAAATGTTTCAATTCTTTTTTGCATAAATTGAACAAAATATTTCTTTGATACCCAACCATACACAAACGACTGCTCCCCATGAACTGCATAGTAACAATGACGTCATAGGTAAATTAATGGCCGCACGCGGTACATTTCACGATGGATTTTATGTTTTGATTGCAGTGTGGATAAATTAATATTTTTATAGTAGTTTAAGTGTGTCCTGCCGTGGTGCAGCGTTTGGTAACAATGATTCGGTTAGACCGAAGGAGTGTTGGTAAGATTTTATGCTAATTAAGTTGCATATTTACATTATTTTGTTCCTAAATTCCTAATTGTTATTTTCAAAACAATTAAGAAATAAAAAGTATAATTGCTATGTCTGTGAAAATTACCATAATTACTGAAATTATTGTACAGACTGTGATGTATCAACTCAAGATGTTTATATTCATGAAGCGGTATATGCTTTTCTAAAAAAAATAAACTTAAGATCTACTTCATTTATTGTTTAATTTAGATAAAGAGTCATTTCAAGATAGATCTAGGTACAACTTTATTGCTGATTTGTTTTCTACTTGACTTTGTTGTTTATTCATAAGTAGCTTGAATTAATTCATAAATAGCTTGAATTAAATTTTTATGCACATATGTGAAAACTTGCATGCAGACAAAGACATGAACATTAATTAATTGCACCACAGATTTATATCCGTGATTGCACAGTTAATTGAGTCATGTTAGGGACATTTGCGCATGAAACATACAGTGATTTATTTTACTTACCCAGTATATTTTACTAACTACAATGCATTTGGTGTCCTTGTCTCATATATTAAAAAGATATTCATAATTGACACAATTTATGAATTATTGACATATTAGGCAATAATTTGAGTTTATTTATACTTTTCAGTTATTTAATTTCAATTTGATTTTTTGTAATTGAAGAAGAAGAAAAAAACAAGCTACGTCTTTAGACAAGTCATTGTAAATTAAATTTTTCATAATGTCTGCGACATTCTGCGACATTTTGATGATACTTGACATGTCAGACTTAAATTATCATTTGCTTTAAACTTCAATACAATTGTATGATTTCTATCAGTACTGAAGACACCCTGCCTATTCTCATGTTATTTTGTTAGTCATTATTGTAATGCATATCATGTCAAGATAAGTGCTGCCATTTTTGGAACTAGCAAGTGTCACAATGATCGTCATAAAATTATATCATAATAGTACATAATTATTCTATTGAATAATTGTAAATGATATGCAAACTTTAACACTTCTTTACCTCATAATCCCTCATGTAAACATTTTATGATATTTAGCCTCGAAGATAAATTGTACAAAATCTGTATGTATTAATGAAAGAAAGTTTTTCAAGAAATTGAATGAATATATATTAAATTTTAAAGGGATTCCATTGAGATTTCTTAACATGTCAGGACACAGACAATAATTTTTCCAGATAAATGTTTCATTAGATGTAGGTCTAAACCAGTAGCATGTGTGCAAACTTTCAGATCATTTGCTCACTGTTTTACCACAATGTTTTTGTTAATAAAAAAATATTATAAAATAGGGCCAAAATTGAAAGTGTTATAAATTTTATTACTCAAATTGATTGAAGAATGGCTCAAAAATATGATTTTCAGTTTATTTCTGAGTATATTTTTCTATTTTTATATTTCTCTATCTTTTGCATATCTGCCTCAGTTGATGTACGTAAAGTTCTTTTTTTTTTATTCTTTTAGACCTCAGTGGACTTCCTTTAATGTTTTAATAAGTCAGATTAAGTAAGATTAAAAGACAGGAAAGCTGTTTCCTGTTTGAGAGGGTATAAAGTTTATAAGACTAAAGTATTATCAATCACAAATATAGAAATAGTTTTATGATATTTCTTAATGTTTCAATCACACAGCTTGATACAGAGTTTCATATGCCAGGTTGAAACGTAATTTTGCTGGAAACCATGTGAAAGTTAGTATACATAGATAACTCTACCTTTGATGTGATTATTTTCTGTGTAAGTTTTTTTTTTTATTTTCTTAAATATTTAATCCTTTTAAAACTACATGTTTTATCTTTAATTTTGAAAAAAAAAAATTTCAATCTGTCTATTTATTTTAATATGACTGTTTTCTGATTAGATGTACAGGGAACAGAACGTGTATTTAAGAAAGTTGTACACTCTGGGCAGAATGCAATTCGTTTTGTTGATAGAGATGGAGTACCAATGCGCGTGCCAAACACTGCAGGACTTAGCCGTCTTCACAGCACATACACTCTCAGTCCACGTGGTGTGCCAATTAGGAAATCAAATCATTCATACAGTGGTCAACTCACTCAAGCAAAAATGCAAAACATGGTGAGTTACCTTTGGAAGAAACATTGATAAGAGGAAAGAATTAAAGAGGGCATTCTTTTATTTGAATTGTAAAGTATTAAAAAAATCGTTTTTCTATTTTATGGCTGATAATTATGATTAAAATCAATAAAAATATGAATATAAAGTCAGCATTTATATTGATAGTTAAATTTTATTGTTTATCTATAACCTATGAAACATTGAACTGAAATGAATAAAAAACCTGAGATGAAATTAATATTTAATGATATCGAAAATTGTGTAATTATTATTTAGCTGTCAACATCATGACTGTATCATAACCATGGAATATATGCCCTAAACTGTTGTGTCTCAATTTATTTAAGGCCCATTTTGCCACAGAAATGCTTTTATGTTTATTTCTCAAAAGCTTTTTACTTTTGGTGTCCTGTTTTTGTTTCTTAAAAGTTACTCACTAATCAATTACCTGAACCATCTTTTGCTTCTGTTGCATTTTTTGCAATTATAACTATTATAGTGATTTAGTATTTTGTATTAAAGTCAAAATACTACTTTGTTAACATTCAGATACATTGATGACAAATAATTTCTCATTGTCAGAGTGCTACTTTCTTCAGGTGATAATCTTTTAACATGCTCGGTTATTTAAACATTATAAAACAAATGTTTTCCCCTTTTCAAGGAGGAAAAGTATTCATTTCTGAGGCATAATGTGACTTTAGATTAAAGGGTGTAAAGATATACTAGAGTAGTATATCTAACAAAATATTTTTTATAAAATTTCTAAATATGTTGTTTCCATAATCCTGAGATAAATTCTTGAAAGAGTTTTAGCAAAGAATGTCTCGGTTAAGCAATTTATACATAACTATGAGTATTGTAAATAAACAGGATAAAATGTTCAGGAGCAAAACATTATGCTACCATTTGGAGTAGGAGTTACTCACTTCAGCGTTGTTATATTTTTCTGGTCCTTCGGGATCATTGAGTCCAGCTCTTTTAAGTGTTGAGAGTAGAGTACTGCTCAAGCCAGTGCTAGAGGGCATCAGGGATGTTGCACTTTTTCATTATCCCTCATGTACAGACTCAATCAAACCAAGTCTGCAATTTTCATGTAATTTTGCTGTTTTTAATGCTTCCAAGGGATCACTTTTTTTTCTGGATATTTAATTGTGTAGTGTTTGTACTATTCACTCTTAAAAATATACAAACATAGTTCTTTCATATAGATATTTTCGTTGGATTATTCTTTTATTAAAATTCAAGTCAGATCTTACAAAAAATCAAGCCTGTCCAGTGAACTCTCTCTCTCTCCCTCTTAATAGGAAATTAACACATTTATGCTATCATGAAATTGATTTTAATAATAAAAAGCCAAATTACAGATTTCACAACCCTGTTTAATAGAAAAAATTTAATATTGACTTTAAGGTAGATCAATGTGTAATTTAAATGTGTAATTTAAAAGCCAGTTTACCTTAGTCCTATGTAATCATAATTAAATATCTTATTGTTGAACTTTTCCATTTTAATCTTTATGTCTGGACTAGCTCGTATTTTTATATGTTTATATATAATTTCATTTAATTTGATGTGGAAAGATTACACAATATTTTGCCAGTCTATAAGCCTATCAGTCACTGATTTATTTCTGATCAGATAAAAAGCTATGTATTTCTCTTCTCTACAATTTATTGAAAATTAAGCTTTGTTGGACACAAAAGAAATAAATCCTATGTTAAACTTAATAATACATACCTGTACATATTTTTATATATAAGTGTTACTTTAGTCCTCTCTTTATGGTTTTAAGTAGGATTTTTCTTTAAAACACATTTTATGACAGCTAGATTATTTCATATGATTTTTTGATATTTTAATGGACATGGCATTTTTGAAATTAGGAAATTATGATTAGGCTGCTGAGAAAACTTTCTAATTGTTTCAAATTAATATGAAATTTATATTGACAAATTTTTTAAAAGATTTAAGATGCATTTTTATCATAAAAATAAATTTTTTACCACCAAAGTGCCCATTTTCGTCAAAATGCAATTTAACTGTACTTGTTTAAGTTGTCATATTAAAATATTGAATTATGTCATATAGTTATTAGTAGAATGTTTTGTACTATAAAAAAGCATAGTCTTGAACCCCTGTTTCCTCAATATCAGAATCTTGTTCCATCATTCACTCAAATTTAGGATCATTTACCCTTATTTTGTCAAATGCAGGGTCATGAACCCTCATTCCCTAAAAAGCAAGATTATTAATCCTCATTCCCTTAAAAGCAATGGCATTAACCCTCATTCCCCTTCATTCCCTTAAAAACAATGGCGTTAACCCTCATTCCCCTTCATTCCCTTAAAAGCAATGGCATTAGCCCTCATTCCCCTTCATTCCCTTAAAAGCAATGGCATTAACCCTCATTCCCCTTCATTCCCTTAAAAGCAATGGCATTAACCCTCATTCCCCTTCATTCCCTTAAAAGCAATGGCATTAACCCTCATTCCCCTTCATTCCCTTAAAAGCAATGGCATTAACCCTCATTCCCCTTCATTCCCTTAAAAGCAATGACATTAGCCCTCATTTCCCCAACATATGGACATTAACGGTCATTCCCCCAATATAGGATCAGTGACCCTCATTTACTTCAGAAGCAAGATCATTAACCTTCATTTCCTTAAAAGCAATGACATTAACCCTCATTTCCTCAACACAGGATCATTAACATTCATTCCCTCAAAAGCAAGATCATTAACCCTCATTCTCTCAAAAGCAAGATCATTAACCCTCATTCCCTCAAAAGCAAGATCATTAACCCTCATTCTCTCAAAAGCAAGATCATTAACCCTCATTCTCTCAAAAGCAAGATCATTAACCCTCATTCCCTCAAAAGCAAGATCATTAACCCTCATTCTCTCAAAAGCAGGGATCTGATCCATAAAGTATTTTCGGGTTTCATCAAGCACTTTTATACATGAGTAGGTACATACATGTAACTATGACACACTCAGGATGATTAAAGTAACTGTAACAACATATTTTTATTACAAATAACAAATCGTTAAAACTATATCTGTATTTTCAGGTAAATAGTTTGGAGACTTCATCACAAGAAATGACATCATACACTTCTATGCGCAGTTATGGGAATAGGTAAGCCAGTAGCATCATAAAAATGTGGCGTATGCTTATAACTTATTTTGTGCTTGCGGCTATAATTACAATGCCTCCCAGTAGGTTACGATTATAAAACTTAAGCTTTACTACATATATAATGGACATCCAGTCTATGTGCAGTGAATTCACCTAATATTATGGACATTAAATTTCATTGTTTTGTCATAAGGACATTTTTGTGATTTCAAGGACATTGTTGTGGGTTCTTAAATTTGTGGATTGTTTGTATTTGCAAAAAAAAAAAAAAAAAAAATGAAATGCAATAAAAGAATAATTGTATATCAGACAAAATAAAATTTTCTTTTGTTGGATCTTAAATTTGTGAAATGACTAAACAATGGTTTTTCATTATAGCAGAAGAAAATGTACAGACATGTTTAATACTTGAGAAAAATATATTTTCTTTAAGGCTGTGTGTGTTTAACTGGAAATATCATAGGGAAATTAAACAAATTTTCTCCTTGCGAAACTTTTTATTGATATCTCAAATTTTAATAGTAAAGTCCCTGAAATACAGGAAATTTGGAAATTTAATCAGTTATATCAGGTAGTAAACACCATATAATAGAATGTATAGAGACCTTGAGAAAGTTATGAATGTAACAGATTTCAATGGTATCCATTGTAAAGAACTGTCAAATTTTGTAGTAAAGGTCGAGATGAAGGTTTATATATAAAGTTAATGCCTCCTTTAAGAAAGATATAATCTTCATATATATACATGTATTGTTAGTGGTGGGGGAATAATGCAACTATAAATGGTGTTAACATTAAAGAATGGTCACACTCAGATCCTTAACACCTGAAAGTATTAAGCTCAATAAAAAGTTTACTGATTGAATTTCATAAAAATATGTTGCCTTGGTCTGTGCATTTTAAGAAAATCTGTTTGAACATTATTTTTGAATTTGATGCATATGAAAAATTGACCATATATATATTTTATACATAAGTATCTTATTTCCTCCATGTAGAATTGTCTTGTCAGATTTTAAGATGAAAATGTTTTAATGAATAAGTATGTGGTACAAGTTTTATAACAGTATCTCTAACAACTAGCTGAAATATATTATAGTAAGTGTAATATTTTTTTTACATAAATATTTATAAATTTACGCTTATTATACCAGGATGAATTTCAGTATAACAGATTAAAATGCTTATCAATATAAGTACACTAAATGGAGGTTTTAGCCTACTTTTATATACCATGAGCATCTTCTATTTATGCCATTAAGATGGTAAAACCTTTTATCCTGTACAAGAAAGGTCACAGCCATACTGTATACCTACCTTTTACAAAAAGTAAAAACATATTGATTAAATTACACGTTCTGACCTCCTTCAGGAAGATTTTCATTTCAAAACAGACTTGTTCTTATCTCATTTCCAAGCATTTAGACTAGTAGAGCATCTTTTGTTATACGTATTGTTACTTTGAACTTACATTTATATTGACTTTGTTTCTATTTCCTCTATATAGAGGATATTGAATGAGAGTTACTAAGGTTTAATTCTAAATTATGGAACGTGTTGATTAAAAATCATATTATGCTAGCCTTGGTCAATCATAATGTTGTTTGTTTTTTTCCAATGAGTTCAATATATTTCATATTGAATGTACACAAATGAAATATTCTATTTATCACATATTTAAAATAAGAACGTTTTTACTGCTAAAAGAGTCATTTATTATTAATTAGTGAAGTTCCGATTGTCGCAAGTCGCCGATAATCAGTTACTGTTATGTAAAGCGACAATAATCGATTCACAAAAATTTGTTCCGTGACGTCGTCGAAAATGTTGAAAGTATCAAAGGGAATTAATTCTGATGGTTATTTTCTTTTGGGAACACCTCACCGATCGCAAAAAATCATCTCAGAGACAATTTGGAGTTGAACAGGATCAATAAGTGATGTAAACAATAGTAATATAATGTGATGTGAATGTTATTTGACATCCATTGAAAAATAAAATCTATTTCATAAAATTATGACTATATAAGGTTAAAACTGTGTTGAAAAGTGCTAAATGAAGTTCATGTTACTCAGAATATAATCAAGTGCCTTTGGAAGAATTGTTACTTCCCTATTTCTTTTTAACGGGACTTTATTCGAAAAGTTATCGATTATGTCCCATCCGACTGAACCGATGATCGATTGGGACAAATTTCATCTGATTTCCATCAATATCATTAATGCATCTATAGTGAAATGCTAATATTAGCACGTTATAATGTTATGTTTGTATATTAGGCAGAATGATGACCTCACATCAAAGTGTTATTGCACTAGTGTAATATTGTTGTTATTAAATAGGTTTATTACACTCCTGCGCCATGGCTTATGTGATATTATGTTTTATTATTCAAAAGTGCCATCATATGCTTATATGAAAAGAATCAATTGCAGATATATAATGTCTCACAAAATATTCATTTATCTACAAACCTTTCAAAACCTCGCTCTTGTGCAATGTCATAAAATACTTTGCTTTGGGGGATATTCATTTTTTAATCAATTCTAAATTATACTCTCTTTTTATTTATTCTTTTAAAGAAAATGTAAGCAGCAATTTATTCTATTGATGAAATATTGCTGGTATAACATTTTATTTTTAAATATTTGTTAAATGTATTTTTTTATTCTCTGCATGCGGGCAGAGCAGATTGATTATTTTCCGTACTTGCGTAATTTAGAATTGTTTAGTGGATCAGAAAATGTTTGTACTTATTGTGTGAGTGGATTAAACAGATCGAAATACAGACAATTTCAATAAATTCAGCGTATCTTGCTTTGACATTAATGGATTCATTTATTTGCATATGCATAATACTATGTAAACATTTAACTGTCAGTGCTCTGAAATGTTGTCTATACTTGACAATTTAATATGCATGCAGACTATTACTCATTTTTTATTTCAAATTATAATCAGTTTTTTTTTTTTATGGTTTATAAAAGAATATTGCATGCTTTAATTTTTTATTCAAAAACTTTTCCTTAACCTTTACAATGAAACATATTTATAAATGATTTTGCACTGACTGTTATTCAAATTTAAGGAATTTAAATGTGAAAATGCTTATAGATATAATTCTCAAATTTGATATTTGAAAATATTGATAATTGCTACACAGTCTCTTTGTAAATATAAAATAAACTTGTTTTGGCTGTACACAAAGTATATATATATATGTTACTTAACAATGAAATTATTTAAACTCCTTCCACTAGTTGAACTTTCTTTAATTTACAGACTTTGGTCAAGAAATCAAATCAATTATAGATAAAACATGTACTTGTATTTAAGCAATGTAAGCATTAAGAAGTCAAGCACACTGTCTTGTAGACAGCTTTTATATATAATTTCTTTGACACTTGTGGTGAACATAATGCCATAAACATGTGTACGCTCCTTCACGAGTTCTACCTGCCAAATGTATGAGAAGTCATGAGGTCAAAGGTCAAGGACAGAATGATCCATGTAGCAAATATTAAACTTTGCCATACAATGGAAGTTCTTTCAGTCAAACCTTTCGTCACAACACATGTGTATGCTACCTTGATAAGATCCACATACAGGGTCAAAGGTCAAGGTCACCACATTCAGTTCTTGTTTGATTAAGCTAGAATCTGTGTGAAAGAGTTGAAGCTTGTGCTTGTACAAAATCTTATTTAAGAAATATCAGGTTATAATTGCCTCACAATCAGATAAAAACAAAACTTTCCGATTCTGTTTTTCAATGAAATGAGCATTGTAAATGGCATGACTTCTTGAGTCAAGTTCAATACTTCTGACACATTTTTATGAAGATAAACATTGAAATGGGATAGGAGTCAAAATATATCCTTATTTGATAGTAAAGAAATATAATATCGGTGGCATTATACTAATTTTAGATGCCAAAAATCTTTATATCTATAAGAATAAAAATTAATAAGAAGATTAAATCATTCAGTTGTTTGAAGAAAAAAAATACTCGCCAAAGTGCATATATGTTTTATTGTGTATAATCAGTAAACAGATTAATATTTAATCATTTTTAAGCTTGTTCAGCTTATGTCTTATTGAATGAAATTTCATATTATATTCAAACTAAAAGGACAGGTTATAATTTAAAAAGGCTGTTTTGGAAACATTTAAAGTGTTTTTATGCTAGAATACCTAGTAAAATAGAGGATATTTAATTATCAAATTAATTGTGGTATTTGTAAAGGAATTAACATTGAAGATGAAAAACAACACACTTACAATGTAATTGCTTTTCTTTTTATCTTTTTTCTAATACAAAATAGACATATTTAACTTCTCAATGTATTCACAATTAGTCATACTTGTTTATTAGAGAACATAATTCAATTTGATGGATAAAAAACCTGATAATATTCTTTAAAACAGCAAACATTAATTTTGTCTCCTATTTTTAATTGTTTGTCTTCTTTTTTTAATTGCTTTTTTTCATGGTCATGTCTATGTCTGGAAGATCACTGTACAGTTTTAAGGTTCTAACTTCTTCTACACAAACCATGTAGGTGAAGTGAGTTTGGTTGCAGGTGAGCACCTTGTACATGTGCATTATTGAGTTCAACCTCAATTAAGTCAACTTGTTAAACTTTCTTACTTTTCTATAATGATAATATAAAGACATTTTTTTTGCTGTGTTAGTTTCAGAAAATTACTTATTAAGTTGGTGTATTTTTGTGTTATTAAGTAACAGTTAAGCTGTATGCTTCCAGATGAATAAACTTAATAAAAAATCAAACGAAAAAAGTGACTAGTTTAATAGGTTTAAGAAATATATAAATGTTGGAAACCCAAGAGGCACTGTGCATGTTTTAGGCAAATTTTAATTCATGTCTATGTTTTTCTACCCAATTACTCACACTGTAAAGGCTATTCCTGCATATTTTAAAACATTGATGTTATTTTCTATGGTCAGAAAGTCTTAGAAAGTTAGCCTTTATACCCTTGAT